AGGTGTCCAAAGCGAAGCCCTGGTGGCGATCCAGAGGGATAGGTCCCCAGAATCTGTGTAGTTTTGACAAAATAAGCCAGGTCCTTAGAACGCTGGGGGCCGCCCCTACTTTTTCTGAGTTTAGTAGTTTGCTACATTGCTTTTAGATGCTGGTTGAACTCCCAGCCCCACGTTTTGTTGACGTATCGTCGAGCATTGGCAGATTCCAGGATTTATATAGGTAATAGGTTTTTTATGCTTGTCAGATTATTTTTGGAAGCCCCCCCCCTCCCGCCCCCACTCTTTTTGGTTTGACCGTAATCGAAGATTCGGGGGCATATAGTTTTTGCCCTGTCCGTCTGTCTGTCTGTTTGTCCGGAAATACTTTAACCTTGCCCATAACTTTAGATTGGTTGGAGCCATGGCTTTTATATTTCACATGTGTATTCCTTGTGACAAGACCTTTCTTTGAGTACCATCATATTTGACCTTTTGACCTTGGAGTTTGACCCACTTTTGCAAAATTTTATGAGACTCTAACCTTGGCCATAACTTTTGAACACTTGGAGCTTGGGCTTTCAAACTTCCAATTTAATTAGATTGTCAAACTTCACAAGTGCATTCCCTGTGAGGAGACCTTTCTTTGGATACCAACATCTTTGACCCTTTGACCTTGACCTTGGAGTTTGACCTACTGTTGAAAAAATTTTAACCTTGACCATAACTTTTGAATAGTTGAGCTAGGTCTTTCATACTTCGCATGTGTACTCCTTGTGACAAGACCTTTTTTTGCACACCAACAACTTTAGCCTTTTCACCTTGGAGTTTGACCTACTTCAATTTTGAAAAAAAGTTAACCTTAGCCATAACTTTTGAACAGTTAGTGCTAGGGTTTTCATACTTCACATATGCATTCCTTGTGACAAGACCTTCCTTTAGATACCAACATCTTCGACCCTTTGACCTTGACCTTGGAGTTCGACCTACTTTTGAAAAACTTTAATCTTGGCCATAACTCTTGAACAGTTGGTGTTAGGGCATACTTCAAATATGCATTCCTTTGGACAAGACCATCCTTTAGATACCAACAACTCTGACCATTTGACCTTGACCTTGAAGTTTGACCTACTTTTGAAAAACTTTAACCTTGGCCATAACTTTTGAACAGTTGGTGTTAGGGCTTTCATACTTAACATGTGTTTTCCTTGTGACAAGACCTTCCTTTGGATACCAACAATTTTGGCATTGACCTTGACCTACTTTTAAAAATTTTGAACATTGGTCATAACATTTGAACGTTTGGTTCTAGGGTTTTCACATTTCACGATCATGTGTATAACTTGTGACAAGAACTTCCCTTGGGCTTCATTTGACCTTGTCGTTTTACTTACTTTGAAAAAACTTTAACCTACGGCAAAACTTTTCAACGGATTTTACTAGGGCTTTCATATTTCACAGGTACTAATATATTCCTCGAGACAAGACCTTTCTTTGGGTACCAACATTTTTGATTTCTTGACCTGGAGTTTGACTTGCATTTAAGAAACTTTAACCTTTGCCATAAGCTGCCATACGGGGGCATCAGTGTTTCACAAACACATCTTGTTTTTAGGAAGTTGCCCCCCCCACCCCCTCACTTTTGAAACCGTTGCTACGGGCCTGTAAGATGTACATATTTTAATGTTTGGACATGTATATTTTGCATTTTGTTTGCTTATATTTGTGATGTTAAAATACATATAATTCTACACATAAACCATGCTTCACCTCTAAACTAACATCTCCCATCAAACAAGATTGGTAGGGGGCATCGGCGCAGGGTCCGCCTTTGTTTAAATAAATGAAACACTTCGTTTACTTCCGAAATGTTTCATTTTTTATCACAAATGTAGGGATATTTAAAGATTCAAATGCATATCACAGAATTAGTTTTAAAAAATTTAAGATGTGCTTTAAGTGTACATATAATTCATACTGTAACAGTGATTTATTAATTAATCACCGACTTTATCCTTTACTTTTGTAATTTGCATGAATCTTAATAAATTATGTATTACACCAAAAAATCATTTGTGCAAATATTCGTTACATCTAGTTTTTCTGTTATTTCATTAAAATACGGAATACATCTTTACCAGTTTAAACTGGTTTTATGGTTATATAGCTGTTGATCAATTGTCACATGGTTGAAGCCAGAAGTGCGCGGGATGTACCTGAGGTTGTAGTATGCCCCTCTTTTTGAAACAACAAAATTTAAAGATTTTTTTTCTCAACAGGAGAGTCGAGATAGAGTATAATCCAAGGTTGGACAGCTAGGTGGTATACAGTGGAGTTAAACAATCAATAACCCCCCAGTGGATTAATGCTTTTTTTAAAAAATATATTAAAAATGTCAACGACCATTTACTCTCAATAACTTTGAAATTTTTAATGCCCCAAAAATAGGACAGAGACACAGATTAAAATTTAATGATCTTACACCTTAACAAAAGATTAGAATACAAGGTATGGCGTTTTAGTCAAACTGGCATTAAAACCGCCGTCGACTTTGATCAAAATGATTCATCTACCCGATTAGAGTTAGTTTGAACCGAGTCACAATAATTGAAATACAAAACTTCTTACTCAGCAATTTCTGTCCTTTGTAATTTTTAACATTTGTTGTGAGTAGAAATTTGTCCTGTCACTAATTCTTCCTTTTATACATTTTCTTACGCACACCTGAAACATCGTTAAAGACCAACGCAAATTTTCGTAACAAGTAAAATTTCGTACTATATATATATATATATATATATATATATATATATATATATATATATATATATATATATATATATATATATATATATAACCACAAACAACATTAATTTTGTTAGTTTTTAAAATCCACAAAATGGACATGGAAGCCAGTTTTTTTTGTTTTTTTTTCCGACAAGAGATTTAAGACCTGTTCAAGCTTGGAACTCGGCAGGTATAAGGGTAACCAACCTGAACTTGACTGTGGAACTTAGGGATTTTCTCATCCTTTCTAGCTGCGTCACTTACTGTAGCGGTCAATGTACTAATCATATAATTATTATACATGCTTGCAAGTGTAATCTGTCAAACGAATTTCCAAAAAGAAAATTCGCTGATGATGCGACTAATCAGCGTGTGAAAGTGATTGCAACAAATAAAACATGAGATTTATTTATATGAGATTTATAAATAATAGCACTAAATTACGACCGACTCTATACAATTCAATATTATAGATCATGGATAGGTGAGCACTATCTTCTAAATCAATGACCTGGTGTCACTGACTTGCATAACACACAGACTGGCCATGACTTAATGCAGACCTTAATAAAATATATCATCGTAAGGATCGTATTACTGTGTGTTTTTAGTCATATTGAAGTTACATACACGTAATAACGGTGTTTAACTAACCTGGTCAAGGTACATTCACTTTATCTACAGACTTTTTAAATACATGTAGATATTACTGTATCTAAGGGCCGGCCCAATTAAAAAAACGAAACAAAGTTAAATAAAAAAAAACTACCGATACGGTAAGTTGAAATTAATCTTAAGCATTTATATTCATTAAGAAGAAGCTGTTTTCAACGTTTTAGGTAAGCTTATCTCACAGGGGCAATAGGTTTTTCCAAAGATTGGATGAGGGAACAATCCTTTTTGAGAAAGGAGAAAAGGGACAGGTATTTCACTGCAACTCAATTTTAGTAATGTTAATACCCTACCCCGGGCCCCCAAATAAATTACAAAATTTGATATACATTTAGCAATGATCCAGTAATAGCTTGATGTTATATACTAGTAGACGAAAACAACTAAATACTCAAGTATTTTTTAGATTACCTCTTGGGAGCGTAGCGGAAGACAACTCTGGATAGAGAATGTGAATTGTAGTTTTTTACAAAATACATTACCATAAATTTTAGGAATGTAACTTTTTTATTATTATTATTATTATTATTAATTATGTAAAAAAGTATGATACTTTCAAGTATGTGGTTTAGTAATGTATGCATATATATATATATATATATATATATATATATATATATATATATATATATATATATATATATATATATATATATATATATATATATATATATATATGATGTACTGTATACAAGTCTTATGTTCATATAAAATATTTTGGGTATTCCCCTGCTTGTATGTCTTTTCTATCAATCAAGCAATTCTTTCCCTCTTATGTATATGTATATTGTATTTCGTGTATATGATCATAATCATTATATACATTTTAACAATGTACTTTCTTTTTGCCCCATGAGGGCCCTTAATTGGTCAATAAACGAATTGAATTGTACTGACAAAATGCTTGAACCCCCCCCCCCCTTCTCTCCAATAAATCCGCTACTGCCTCATAAAGATACATGCATGCATACTAGTTTTTATATGCAATATGCAGTACGTATTTTATAGGCGGTATATATGCATGGTTACTAAAAGAAAGATAACTCTCAATATTTTCAGTAACAGTGTTCCAATATCTTGGGACAGACCCACAGTTAGAACACTGTCTTCCAACAAATACATAGAGCAAATCATATCGTTAAACAGGGTGTAGTACATGTATGAAGAATGTGTGCCATAAATTAGGGAAGGAGAGGGAGATTTCACCTTTTGTGAATCCTCATGATTTGAGTTCTTATCACCGTTTTTCCTCTAAAAAAATATCAAAGCTATAAGAGCACAATTTTTTACTCCATCAAAGCAGCATTTCTCTATAACTGAAATCCTTAGAAGAGGGTCTTATTTTACTTGATTTCCAGTCAACAATATTTGAAATTCAAACATCAATTAATAACTACCTAACAAGATTGATTACGGTAACCTTTATTTACATTATAAAAATTAACATAAAGAACATTGCAGAAAATACATTACATGTATTTCAAACAAAAATTTGCACAGTATTTAAAATATGTTAGGTGATAGGCTTTTGAACACTAATAGAACTCCCCCCCCCCCCCCCACCCTTTTATCCCTGTTTACAAGGCTGAGGAGACGATAGCAAGTCGCTGTTCTAACCATTCCACTTCCTCAGGTAGTCCATGGATTTTCCAAAACTCAAGCATTTTCTTGTACCTTTCTTCAACATCAAACTTCATTATATTATAGAATTTGTTGAGGCACAATGGACAAAGAAATGTGGGTCTTTTATCTGCTTCCTCTAAGTGGTTGGAGCCATTCATCAGACATTCGAAATGGATACAGTGTCTCAGTCCATACATGTGACCTATTTCATGACACATTACTTTGCAGGCTCTTCTTAAGATGGTTGCCTCTCCCCCTTTTTCTCTACAAAGTATAAATGGAATTTTCTAGCATTTCTGTATCTTTAGAATTTTTACTTTATTCTATTTCCAAATCTTAAAAAACTAAGGAACTAACGGTCTCATATACTGTGAAAATAACTTAAGTCTAAAATTCTTCATAAGATTTAATTTATAAACCTACTTTTTAATTAACACCAATTTATATTATAGATGTAAAGAATACTGGTAAATATAGACACTTACACATCTGGGTTGTAAACTGTATTTCTTGAACTACCAAAGTTAGACAGGTATCTGGCTAAAGAATACACTCCACAAGAACCTGACAAATTTGCCAGACCAAAGACAAAGTTCCAAGATTCACGAGGATAAAGGTCACACATTGTTATCCCAGCAACACAGAAAGCATCTGCAGGGACCTCCATTTTCTGCAAAACAGCTGATGCATCCACTTGAAAATTATTTGTGAATTCATTGATTCTGTTGGGTACATCCTTTACCATATATTTTTGTTTGCCAATTTTGATAGGCAAATCAAAGAAAATAGCAGCATACTTTGATAGAGGCTTTAGGATATTCTTTGGAACAGGTTCCTCTTCAAAAACCAATGGGATGAGGTAGATAGTCTTTTTACGCCCAAAGGGTCTGGAAATGATGTGATTTTGAAACTGCTTAAAAGTCTGACCTCCTTCCTTTTGCTCTGCTAGCCATTCCCCCTTTTTAGCCTTCTTTTTTACCTTGAATGATTCTGGATCTAAAATACAGGCATCATCTCCTGAGAGCTAGACTTTTTAAGAACAGATATTAAGAATATAATTGCAATGCAATATCTCTTTTTTCAAAAATACATTTTAAAAAATCACTAAGAAGTCTGTGAAGAAACTATAGCTCTACTGGTTTGTACTTATTATAGTGGAATTAGTTGCAGCTAGACTTGAAATAAGCTTTTAATAGTATTGCATATTACAGATTAAGTGTCATGATGTTTTTTGAACTTGTACCAAGTTTCAATGAAATCAAATTAAACAGGAGGTGAAGTATCATTTTTCAAGCAATTTAACAGATTGTTCAGCGATATATGAGCCATTGTTTAGTCTTCACATGTACACGTTAGATCAAAACTGTAAGAGTGCATTTCACACATTATTCTATTTTAGTGACCAACTGGAACATAAATCATTGAAATTTTCCCCATTCTCTCACTCTATTGGTCCTTCACCAGTGTTTCAAAGTAGAAGCATCAAGTAAAAGTTGCAGGAGGGCAAACATTGTATCTTGGTCCCGAAAGATTTAGGTGTAAACTTTAGATTTGAAAGAATTGAAAGTGTATGCCTCCCCCCTGCTTTCCCAATAAATGTTTCTTATTATGAAATACCTGGAAACATGAACCTTGCATTCTTTTCATTTGGGATTTTTTCATGTACTGTTTTGTATTTCAGCACAGTAGTTGACTCTTTATCCTAAACATAAAGAAAATTTTATAAGTAATAACTCAAGAATCCATTGACAGCCATTGGTTGGAATTCAAAGTCTTCAAAATTTGATAAAAATGACACCATAACTGTTATTCTAAATATTTCATCATCATAATATAAACAAGCAGATTAATTAAAGCATGTTTGCTGTTGACTGATCTATTTGCCATTTTTTCTAAACACAGTTCTTAAAAAAACTTTACAAAGTAAAATGTCAGGTTATTCTGCTTAATAGATTTGATATTGTCTTTGAAACTTCATTTTCTAACTGTGAAGCCTACTTACTTACTTTTAATTGTTCAATTCCAATAATTTGCAATAATTTTAAATCCACTTCGGGTTTAGCTGTTGCCATACTTTAAATTAGTGTAATTATGCCTCTGTTCGGGTTAGTTTTATCCTCAAGAAACAAACATGACAAATATATTATTCTGATCATTTCAATTTGCTTGACAACCCAAACAACAACAGATTACTTTCACTTTACGTAACGGAATACCGATCCCGATGTTATTAGCTGGTTTTGAACTGACGTTCACCAGGCGTTTTTCACGATTTTGATATTTGACGTACAATGTACCAGGAAAGCAAGTCAAATTTCAAAACCACAAAAAACGCCTGGAAAACGTCAGAAATTTCGGAATAGCTCTGATGGCGAAAGATGCTTGCATATTTATCATGAGCATGAAATTTGAAGATAATATTCAATCTCGAAAGTCCAATGAAACGATACAAATTGGAGCAGAGCAAACACGAACCTCAAAATTTAGAGGTGGGATCAGGTGCCATGGATGAGAGAGCATCCCCTGCCGACCGGACACACCCGCAGTGTGCTCCTTGTCATTACTGGGGGAAAAACCGGAAAAATCCGTAGACAGTTCAGTGTATAAATAATGGCCTAACAATGTAGTATGAAAAACGTCAGTCAGCATTTGACTCGATGATAGGTTGTATGTGCTGACAAGGTCATTGTATTGACCATAAACTTGCGAAATGATGACTTCAAACGAGAACTATTGATATCCTTGTTTCATCAACGTGTTTGTCAATAGCTTGCCTCATTTAATAAATTGTTCATACGTAGATCATGCTTTTGCATATCGAATCAACTGAGAGACATAAACCTCAAGCATGTGATATCGTTTGCTTATAGATTAGACATGTTTTTTTTCTTATTTATCTGTATAAAGAAACGGAGGAAAAGTTAATGCGACAATTAGGCCATCTTAAAAAAAAAGTTTGCCCTCTCCTGACCGACTGGCTTAAAATGGCTCAAAACTTTTTTTAACCTTCAGGAGGGAATCACTTTTATTTGTTTATTTTTTTATGTATTCTGGAAAATAGATTTTAAAAATTCATCATTGAAATTGAAATTTTCAAAAAAATTTTCTCGCCTTCCTACCGACCCATTTTAAGCCCTGCCATGAATATGGTCGGGGCATATAGTGTTTGTCATGTCCGTCTTCCGTCCTTCCATCTGTCTTTCCGTCAAGCTTTGCATTTAGCTCTGTTCAAAGCTCAGTTTCAAAGAAACTATCCAAGATATTTTTATCAAACTTCATATGCTGATAGATATTGATGAGAACTATGCAACTGCATCAACATTTTTTGACCTTGTCCTTTCCTTTGACCTTGACCTCACTTTTCTTAAATTAGTGTTTAGATCAGTTTTAAAGATACCACTCAAGGTAGTGTAATCAAACTTCATACGTTGATACATACTGATGTAAGCTATTCAACTGCATCAACATTTTTTAACCTTGACCTTTCCTTTGACCTTGACCTCACTTTTCTTAAATTAGTGTTTAGCTCAGTTTTATTTGTTTGTTTGTATGTTGTTTAACGTCCCTCTCGAGAATTTTTCACTCATATGGAGACGCCACCACTTGCCAGTGGAGAGCTGCAAATTTTTTCCTTTTCCCGGCACTGACGGCCATTGAGCAGTGAGGGATCTTTTTCGTGCCAGCACCTACTGTGACACGGGACCTTGGTTTGTACAATCTCATCTGAAGGACCGGTCTCCACGTCCCACAGTGGGATTCGAACCCGCGACGTATTAAGGATCAACTCCTTACTCCGCGACTCTAGAGCAGACACTCTAACCACGCGGGCGACTAGCTCAGTTTTTAAGATACCATTCAATACAGTGTTATTAAACTTCATATGTTGATACATACTGATGAGAGCTACTCAACTGCATCAACATTTTTTGACCTTGACCATTCCTTTGACCTTACCTCACTTTTCTTAAATTAGTGTTTAGCTCAGTTTTAAAGATACCATTCAATACAGTGTTATCAAACTTCATACGTTGATACATACTGATGAGAGCTATTCAACTGCATCAACATTTTTTGTCCTTGACCATTCCATTGACCTTGACCTCACTTTTCTTAAATTAGTGTCAAACTTCATATGCTGATACATACTGATGTAAGCTATTCAACTGCATCAATATTTTTTGACCTTGACCTTTCCTTTGACCTTGACCTCACTTTTCTCAATTTGTGTTTACTCAGTTTTAAAGAAAACATTCATAATATTTTTATCAAACTTCATATGCTAATACATACTGATGTAGCCTTTTCAACTGCATCAACATTTTTTGACCTTGACCTTTCCTTTGACCTTAACTTCATTTATTTTAAATTAGTGTTTAGCTCAGTTTTAAATAAACCATTCAAAATATTATCAAACTTAAAAAAGCTGATACATATTTGTGAGAAGTATTCAACTGCATCAAAAACATTTGACCTTGAACTTTCCTGTGACCTTGACCTCATTTTTCTTACATTTGCATTTTGCTTAATTTTAAAGAAACCATTTCAGATATATTTATGTAAGTTTATATTTCAATTTCAATTTTAAAGAAACTATTCAAGATATTCTCATCAATTTTCATACACTAATACAAACTTACATGTTGCATTACTAATATACTCTCGGCGGTCATTCATGTCCTATGGACATATTTCTAGTTTCATTCTGAGTCGGGAGAGGGCAAAGAAACATTATTTAAAGTTAGCCTTATTTGAATAAATTTACAGTATTCCCCCTAACCCTTTAATTCAACAGATTAAAAAAAATCACCTGTGACCCTGTAAATTGTAACTTTCAGTTTTTCTTAGTTACATGATCTTTCTTAAAAGTTTATAAATTTATAGGCGAATTCTAGCCATTTATCCAAGATTTTTTTTACTAGTAAGTATTGAAACTATAGTATATCCATGTATTAAATACATGTGTACGTGTTTATTATCAAATATGGCAAACCGAACAATTTCCATAGGCCTAGTAGCAACGGTTTCAAAAGTATGTGTGTGTCCAAGGGGGGGGGGGGGCATTGTCTGGGGGCCACTTTTATTGGCAAAATTATCAAATCTCCAATATTATATACTCAGGGAAAGCAAATAGAAACATGAACTATGCATTTTCTAATTGAAAATTAATCAACAAATATATTTCAGTTTAAAAAACTATAGGTATCCAGGCATTCAGAGAAATTTGCATGTTTTTGAATTTTTTTTATACTTATTTGGTATTCTAGGTCTTCTGTTTCCTTCAATTATTATATAATACACATGTACATGGTGTAAAAAGGCTCGTGCTTTCATTGCAAGACATCACAGACAACTTTTAATTTTATATCATGGTAATACGCTTTGGTATCTAAGGCTAGATTCAAGAAAATCTTATTTCTCTAAAACTGTATTCATTTTTGCATTTTATTGGGTACAAATGTCATTTTTTTTTTTTTTTTTTTTTTTAACACAAACCCTTTCTAAGACTTCAAAGAACCTTGAATCATATTAAGATGAATAAAATGAAAATTTTTGCATGAAAAGTTTTCAAGTTCCATATTAAGACTTTTTGAATTAAATAATAATTTTAAGAGTTATCCTTCCTGGCTGAAGATCGGATATCCTTAAAAAGAAAATTGAGTTATACCCCTTTTCACACCTTAATGGATAGACCTTTTTATTCTTATCAATATGGTATTTGACGAAAAAACTTTTATAAAAATGTTTGGTATAACATTATTTAAAATTGAGTATGTTTTAGTCAATGTAAAAGAACCAAAAAAAAAAATAAATAAATAAATAAAATAAAAAAAAAAAAAAAAAAAAAAAATCAATTAAGATCATTATTCTGCAAACTGACTGACAAGAAAAAGAGATATCTGCTTTGTAAAAAAAAAAAAAAAAAAGAAATCTGTTTGTTGCACTTTTGGTCTGAGAAACTAAAAATTAATATTTTTTTTTTTTTTTTGACTAATGCATTTGAAGCAGAAACCTTTCTCCCACATTTATCTTTTTTCATACATTGAGAAAGTCAAACCAAATACAACTTTTGTCAACTTAAGGTTTTATTACAAACTATTATTTTTGTACAATTTGACTTAACTAACTATTGTCACAACATATAGCAATTTTATTAAAATTTCAGATCTGTGAACTTTAAAGAGAAAAACTGACTTAAACATTTAGCCTCAGCTAAAGGTATCTTCCTTTTAGAAACTAAATTTTCTTCCATTTTATGTATCCGTTATTGAAAAACATATCAGACCTGAGAAAACTAGGAAAAAAAAGAAATAATATACTTTCATCCCAAAAAAGAGATATTATTTTCATAAGTGGAAGAACATTCTAATGCATAAAATACAATAAAAACATTAAAAATATGTTTATAAAATGTGTGCCTCCATCTTCTGCTGCAAAAGCTAGTTCTGTGTTTTTCTGTTGAATAAGCTATAGTAATTACCACGGGCAATTTTACACAATCATTGTTTCTCATGAAAGAAAGAAATAAATAATACATGTACACAAAAGAGAGGTATGGAATATAAAAGTGTAATAGATCCTAAGAGATCGGGTTCAAAAAAAGAATTATGCACCATCATGAAAAAAAATATATTTACAAGCTCAGAACTAATTAAATGTACATTTTCTACAAAAACTAAACATTACTATTAAAGTTCATAAAAATACAGATATAATTTCATTTCATGAGAGTTTATTCCCTTTCAGAAAAAAAAATAAAGTAAAAGTTTATCAATACATTTTGATACAAGAAAATGCTTACGTGGATATAAAAGAAAATCTTGTATTGCACATTTAGAAAAATTATACAAAACACTTGAAGAAATAGATTTTGTAAAGCTTTTGATTCCGATACAAACATGTTTAAGATTAAAAATATTGTGCAACTTTAAGATAGCTGTGAAAAGGAATGTAAAAATTCTGTATGTAATTCAAAGGATTCTTGCAAATGATGAGAAACAACCAAGCTTTATTCTGAGTATATTACTAAGTGGACCATTTTTACAAGTACCAAAAGTTTTAAAAAGAGAGATTTATTTGGTCTACTTTACCTGCTACATGCAAACTTATGTAAAAAGTGACAAAGAAAAAACATCACAAACTCTTGATTATTAAGGAGATTTAAGTACAATGTTTAGGTATGGCACCTCTGAGGAACTATAAAACATTGTGTGGGGCCACATTTATTACCGAATGATGAGGACTTTTTTGATGAACACAGCATACAAACATTCATGCAAAAGATCTCTCTTGGAGAAACCAGTTCAAAATGAAAAACTGCCATCAAAATGCTAGCATAGAATAAGGGAAAAAAAATAAACTGGTGGTCAATTGGGCAATACTGAACATTGATGTGTTCATAACAACAATAGACATGTACGATTCCTCTTTTACATTCTTAAATTTCAATACCATGTACAACATGTATATATGTAAAATGAACCATAAGAAATGAATTATCTAGCCACATTTGCATCTGTTTTCAACTTGTTAAACACACAGAAAATTCATGAATGATCATTTGGCCCCTGTTTCTCTTTCAAACAATCATTCCTTCTCTACAATACAACATTATTCACAGAGCATATTTTGCACACAATCATTTTCACAGGGATATAGGAAACAGAATGGAACAAAAGTGAATAGTATGATACAATGACACTCGAAAACAATATGCCTTCTCTCGGTTATACAGAGGTTTCCGAGTTCAGCCGCAACACAAACTTGTTGGTCTTTGGATTTATGACTTCTTCTGTAAGATTGAAATGGGGCAGTCTTTTAGCGGTACACAATAATGAAATGTCATTCTGACGCAACTGAAACACAGAATTGTGTTCTAGTTCTCGAGTCAGCAGCTGATCTGAGATGAGAATCCATTTCTCCACTTCTTTGTACTCTTTGTCATTCATGATGACAACCCCCTGATTTAGATAACGCTCCACAAAAGATTTTGGTGTCATGTCATGACTGATACAACTTGCTAAGTGGTTCAGCACAGATTCCATGGTGTATCTTGGCTGTTGGCGTGTGACACGGAGATACTTTTGGAGAGCCCGGGCCATTGAAGGAAACACTGCTTGGGCAGCTTCATTAGGGTCCATAGGAATGGCTGCTCCCCCTGCAATAATATCAGAACGGTTTAAACAAGATTTACAGCAACATTCACCGTGTATATTGTAAATAAATAGCTTACTTTCCACAAATAAAATGTATCAGCAACATACAGTCAAACTTCATTATCTCAAAGTTGATGGGACTGAAAATTTTGAAAGTGAAAAAACTTCACAATATCCAAGGGTTTGAGGTTCATTCTTCATTCATAGAAAAAATGTGGGTGGTACGTTCAACTCACTTAGACATATCAAAGGTATTTGAGATATCGATGATCAAGATACTGAAGTTCAACTGTATTCTCTTTATATAGATATCCATAAAATAAGAATTTAACATGTTTAATAACATTGGAGTTGCTACATAAATTATGAATTTAATAACATTGAAGTCAATACAATTGATATTTGATATTTTTTAAGCCAAGAAGAATAACCAATGATATGTTTATAAACTGTAGAAATTCATGTACAAAAATTTACAGTAAAATGTATGGTGTATAATATTTACTGTTTACAAAAAACATCACAAGAAAAGCACACATTCAGATAATAAGAATGCCAGATTTGTCAATATCAGTCACAAGTTAGATTGAAAGATTATTTTTATTACCAACACACTTCTAACTTGTGACCTACACTTTACACATATTGTATTGCATTAAGACTGAAATTTAATTCCACTCTATTTGTACTTTAAAAGTCTGTCTAAATAAAAGCAAGTGCTGGATGGAATTTCTTTATATCAACATGATCAATATTAAGCAGAGGAAAAGAAGATAAACTTTTAAGTGGCCATTAAGCGATCCTACCATTTAACTTCAGGGATATTTTAAACTTCAACTTATGGTGTCTCCCATATTTTAAACATTAAATCCTTTGGAATTTACCTACAAACACGAAACATGTTCTTCTTAAGTGGCAAATGTTCAAAGATTTAAGAATGTCCAAAAAAAGGCAAAAACGTCCTTAATAAAACCTCTACTATTCTTTGTATACACCCTTGGTTTCCTTTATGCTTTGGAGAGGAGTGTTTATCCTGATATTCTTCTTCATCAAATGTTAATTTAGCAGACAAAGTGAGTACATGCAGAGTGGAGCATTGCTGAGCCCCAGGTATTCCAGGAAAATCATGGCAGCCCTCACATTATACCTGTACTGGGTTCCTTTGATTGTCAGATGAATCTAATTAAACACTCGGCCTTCATGTCTCGTGTTTTACATCTAACTTCATAAAGCTCTACTGCATTTGAGTTTGAGTATAAAGACGATACAGTTAATGAAGTTGAACCTTTGCGGGAGACAACATATTCCTCATACTGTCAGGCTGCACATCCAGAATCAAACAGAGGGGAGAGGGGAAAACTAATTATATCAGAAGATATTAAACACTTCCACAGCTTTGTTCTGATTCTTTCTAGAGTTACAACTTTCATCAAAACAGAAAATAGTTTATACAAAAGTTTGTAAAGATTTCTGACTTTTCCTTCTTCAGTGGCTCACATATCTTAGACAATTTCCAATCAAGTGTGACTGTGTAACAAAACCTTTTAGATTACTTACAACCATCAAATGCACAATTAGCATGTTTATTAACTATATCAATAACAAATCGTCCTCCTCAACTCACTTTATCTTAGTGTTACCTGTCAGTTCTGCACCACGAATCCTCACTAAGAGGAAGTCACACACAGATATTATGACAGTATAACATTAAAACCAAAAAATTTATCCTGCATTCTCTCAATTATTGACTATTCTAAACCATTTCATACATTAATTAATGCAAAAAACTAATGTTTTGAATTAGACTTAACCTACAAAAGCCAATAAGCATCTTCTACCAATCTTTTGCATATAGTAAATTAAATCCCTTCTTCTGAGTTCTGAAGATGACAAACCACCATTTGCCTGATCAGTCTATCAATAAAAATGACTCATGAACTGTTTTTTTTCCCTTAAGTCCAACAAAACTATTGGGAATTCTGTTCCCAACCTAATGGCCTATCATAGAATCTTGTTGTCAAGGAGTCTTAAAGGAATGATGCCTAGAATGCATGACCTTTTTTCCTCTCTAAAATAGCACAGCAACAGATGCAATATTGGATGCTAATGACAAGGAGTCCATTTTTTCCTTCCTGGCTCAATTTAGCAGGTCTACAGCAAAGATTTTAATTTTTAGCCCAGTGCGGCACAAAAACATGCTGTGAACAGATAATGCTTCACTTGTCTGTTTTCTCTCATTACTACAGCAACCATAGGATTACTCTTTTTATGTTATTACTGCATATGTGTTTAAAAAGAACCATAAAATTTTACTGCCCCTAATTTGATAACAACGATGCAAAACTAAAGTCAGGATTTTCTTGTTCTTATATTTTATTAATAAGCTATACTCCCTGACTTAAGTGATAGGGATGACTCAATAACATACTAGGCCTGTTTCAGCTACTTCCCTAGATCAAGCACCCTCCTTTCCTGCTTGACAATAATGGTCACTTAACTGGACAGAGGTCATAAGTAAGTGTCCCACTTCAAGAATACAAGGAATACCAGTCATTCTGTTTATCACTGTCCGTGACTCAGCACTAAATCTTACAACATTGTTGTAATTTCTTAGTATCTGACCATACCACTTCCTGTCCTCAGCTAAATACCCCACAGATTCTCAGTTTCACACTTAAATAAATCTACACATGGAACTTACATAACAAAATATGACCACTCTTTAGTGTTAAGAATCACTATAAATATACATGTCCATAGGACATGAATGCCCACCCAGGGATACATTTAAGTAATGCAACATAAAAATTTGTATTAGTGTATGAAGTTTGATGAAAATATCTTGAAAGTTTCTTTAAACCGATACAAAATAAATAATAAAGTCAAAGGTCATTAGGAAGGTCAAGGTAAAACTAAATTGGAAAAGTTGGTAAATTCTCAGCATACAATGTATCAGTGCATAAGCTTACATAAGAAAATATCTCAAATAGTTTCTTTGAAACTGGGTTAAACACAAATTTGAGAAAAGTTAGGTCAAGGTCTCAGAAAGTCATGGTAAAAAAAAAATGTAGATGTGGCTGAACAGCTCTCATCAATATGTATAAGCATATAAGGTTTGATACAAATATGTTTAGTTTCTTTGAAATAGAGATAATCACTAATTTATGAAAGCAAGGTCAAGGTAAAAGGAAAGATCAAGGTTAAAATGTTGATGCAGTTGAATAGCTCTCATCAATATGAATCAACACATAAAGTTTGATTAAAATATCTTGAATAATTTCTTTGAAACATAGGTAAATACAAATTTAAGAAAAGTGAAGTCAATGTCAAAGGAAAGGTCTAGATCAAAAAATGTTCTTAAAGTTGAAAAGTTCTCATCAGTATGTACCAGAATATAAGGTTTATTGAAAATATATTGAATATTTCTTTGAAACTGAACTAAAAATTTATTTAAGAAAAGTGAAATCAAGGACAAAAGGAAGGTCAAGGTCAGAAAATGTTGATGCAGTTGATTGGCTTTCAATATGAATCAGCATATGAAGTTTGATAAAAAGATCTTGATTAGTTTCTTTAAAACTGAGCTAAACACAAAGTGTGTCGAAAGGACGGAAGGACAGAAGACAGACATGACAAACATCATATGTCCCAGTCATATTCATGGTGGGGCATAAAAATCGTGAAAAAATGTTCTATACTTGCACTAACAAGCTTTTTGCAATCTGTTCAATTCTGTGTAACAATCCACAGTGACAAGTTAAATACAAACATTTCCCATCATTGACATCCCAATCATGAATTTATCTGTTCTTTAAAACCTAATAGTCACATAGTAATCACAAAACTCTGCAGTAGATGGCTTGAAATAATGTGAGTCTTCCTAAAATCACTGAAAGCTCAGGTGTACATTTAAACAGATGAAAAAAAAAAAAACAGCAAAAAATAGAATTCATATGTGTACATGCATTCATTAAAAGATTCGTAACAGGGGTATCTACATTTGTATTTGATGTCATTCCTGGGGAGAAATAAATAAAACATTTAGGTAGCCAAGAATTTGATTACATTGGCTTTAACTACATGAAGTTATTTTGCCAGAATAAATAGCTATCACTTAATTTTCCCTTCTCTACTGGTAGTGTAAAAAAAAACAAAAACAGCTTTTCAGTATAACTGAATGTCTATTTCACATCTACCAATCTGTTCCTAATTGTCTTGAATTTCAAAATATTGCAACAACATTGTCAGATTTAACAACAGGGTTTTGTGTTAATACCTGCTTCTTCCTGCATTCGCTTTATGTGGGTAAACGCCTCCTCTGCAGCTACGATCAGACGAGCTCTTCTTTTCCTTACGCGCCTATTATACTCCTCTTCTTCATGAAATCTACAGGATTAATATCATAACATTAAGTGCTGTGGATTGTACATAGAAATTCCTATGTTTACAGTCATATCTAATTAACTAGTAAGTAGGCAAGTTGTAGCAAATTTTCTATTAAATTAAAAATGGGAACCAAATATTTCAGAACTTTGCACAAATTTTCATGAAAGTTATATTCTGGTTTTTATATTCAATTTGAAGAACTTCAAATTGCAATCATTTCAAAATTTATACATTCAAATCCTATAATCAAGGACACACCTGTCATTGTGACTTGCATCTCTCCGTCGAGCTGCAGCAGCGAATATGGCTCTGGATCGACTCTGCACATTCTGTGAATTATTTCCATCAATATCATAGAATTTGATTCCTGACATTTTCATTGGCTTCTTGTAAGCATTTTCTAAGTATGGGTTATAGACTGGAAAGTCCCTGTAGTACTGCTCCAGTATAAAGGATGCCGCCCTCTGAATACTCAGTGCACCAATATTATAACACTTTGATTCCCCGTCTGGGGAGCGAACCACTTTGATGACAAACATGGGCTGCAACTGACGAATTTCCAGCAAAATGACGGCAATATAATGGATGAATAAGAGTGCATCAACAAAAGACACAGAAAACTGGACAATCTCCTTGTACTCAATCCCCAGTACCTTTGCGAGGTCAGAGGAATCTGTAGGTGTCTGGGAACTTTGAGTCTTTGGTGAAGTTTGTTCTTTAATGATTCTTACACCATAAAAAAGCCAAAAGGCAAAAGTCAGTACAAAAACCAGGAATAGTACTACGGCTCGGAAAAGAAACACTCGAGGCATTGTAGCTTTAGGTTGCCTGAAAAACAAGGCAAATGTTCCCATAGCTAGAATCAAAAGTTTAAAGGCAAAGCTAATGAGAAGTCCTTCACAATCTGGTTTACATGGACCGGCATCCCAGCCATTTATGCCAAGTTTAGGTAAAATCACCATGGCTATAGGTGAGAGAAAAGCTATCACAGACAAGATACTGGCCAGAGTGGTGCCTACATATCGAGCACATCCAATCCCAATGGTCTCCTCAAAGCTCTCCTTGCCAAACTTTCCTCTCATGTCCTCCATAGAAAATCCTGTCTCACTTGTATTACCTATAAAAGTAAATCAAAAAGATTATATGTCTCACAAGAAAGATAATAATTCATCAAAAATCAATTTTCCGCAAAGGAGACATGTTCACAAACTATCAAAAAATTACTGAATTCTACCTGCAAGTATTTTTATTCTGCAAGATCATCTTCAAGGCATGTTGAATCAAAAGTAAACATGTGCTGAAATAATTTATTACAATGCTATGTACCTGTTATAGCAGTTGTGTTGTCCCCCCAATTATCATCTTGAGGAATGACCTGCACCTCAATTCTCTCCTCTCCCATCATTCTATCCTCTGTGTCTGACATATTGCCCGGAGTTTTGATTGTCACAGAGCGCTCATCCATGCTGCGTTCCCCTGGACGATGATGACCGCCATGGTCCGAGCTGGGGCCACGGCTGCGGCTACCGTGGTGATGACGATGGTGGTGGCTACCATGACTACGCCTTGACCTTTCTGACCTATCACTTCTTCCTGAACGAACAGATTCTGCACCATCCATTATTACTCAAATTCCTAAATAAAATGGATAATTTCTTTATAGTTCATGTTTACACAAAAAGAAAAAAGCCAAGAGAGCTTATTCTAAATTCATTACACAATATTTACGAGTAATATATCACTTACTATAGCATAACACATTCTTCAACATAAATTATCAACAAGCACATAATTATTTATATAAATGATTTATACAATGTATAGATGTGTATATTAACATTTTAATTCCTTGGAACACTATTTCCCCCAAAAACCCTTTGTCTACTAAAAGAAAACTTGGCTGATCTTTTAAAGCTGTTCAAATTACTCCTCATCATATTTGCAATGAATGTAGAGCAAAATCACATTTACCGTTGTTCCCTCTCAGCAGGCCTGATACCGTAATAACTTTTTTAACATCTAAAGAACATGTTGACTTTTTGTACTCTACTAAACTTAAACACATTTATGTGTTAGTGTGAAATGTACGAGTGCTACGTCAAAATGTCAGTAAATCTTATCAATCCCTGTTTGAAGTATACTTGGGACAATCAATTTGCCACTGAAAGTCAGTAATCTCATAACAAAAATCATCAGATTAATCAAATCCTTATTGTTAAGATTGTGTTACCTTCATATAATGCAATAATTTTACAGGTGTGAAGAGGATTAATGGGATCCTAAGAAATCTTGACACAGAAAAGCAAAATCCAAACTTTACTGGAATTTGGACTTAAACACTGCCGAATCATAAGACAAGCATGAATTTTGCATGTATTGGCAAGGTTCTGCTAAAATTTTATTCACATCCCTTCAAAGACAATCATTATAACAGTTATATTGTCTAAAAATTGGTAAAATGACACTAATGCTGATCTTAATGCAAGATTTTTTGGTATGTACCTCAATTAACGCTGTATTAAAAATGTATAATTAATGAGAAATATAATATACATAAATCCATTAAAAATCCCACTGATAAATTGCCTTGTGTCTGAATAAAACAAAGCCATTAACCCATTGTAACTGCTAGTCTTACATCCATTAAATTACTAGTGGACTTTAAAAAATGGCAAAGTCAGGTAACCCAAGTCAAATGTATATACTTGTGTTTAAAATATGCAAATAGATCTACAAGACATAAGCTAAAGGAAGGCAGAATTTGTATTATTTATATTAAAGCATTAAGACCTAATCCCGAGCTACACTTCTCACTTTGTATGTACTGATATTTCACAACTATAAATATATTAAAATGTATGCATATTATTGTAAAAACATCCTTATGTATAGATGATCAAATTCAGTGATGATATTAATCAGTAATTAGTCTCTCTTGTAAATTATTTTTTATCATACTTTAAAGAAAATTAACATTTCCTTTCAATCCTAGATATTTTTTTCTTTTAAAGCAGAATAACATATAAAATAAAAACTTACACATGCTGCACTATGCTAACCAACAGACATAAATCTGCTAAGCCTAGGGAACTACGTCTTATTACAATTTCAACAGTGAAATACTGCAATTCATTTAAGGAATGAATTTAATAGCTACATGGTATAAAGTGGGTTGGAACAGTTTACGCTTTTTTATAAAATGCTTCGTGATAATTTAATTTTCATTCATTTAGTGTAAGAAAAAAGATGATTGCCCTTAAAAAATGACTTAAAATTGTACAAAATTTTTAAAAATGTTACGTCAGGCGGATCGATACGTTTTTGACGCAAGTCATTGTAACGTAGGCAACCCAATTTATACTATATAAAGTAATTTTTTTATCCAATCAAATGGCGTGTTACAATCAAAATTAAATTATTTACTTAATAAAAGTGTTTCTTTTGAAGTGTGGCAAAACTCTTGGTTTTTCTTGACGTCCCTTCATGAAAAGAATTGTAAAATAGTCCCTAGCCTTTTATAAGATAGTAAGAATATATAAACAATCTTGAGGGAGACTAAAACTGCCAAAGTTTCTCTAAATGTTTAAAAATTTTCAATCTTGCTTAGCTATGACATTTCAACCTCTCAACAATGACGTAACGGCCAACGACACTGCAATACGAAAAGACACAGGCAAAGGGAAAATCATAGAAAATGTACTATAAAATAAACAGAAAATTCTATAATATGGACTCAAAAAAATATGAAAATAATCCTGTTGCACTTATGTACTATTTCTAATATTTTATAAACAGTTTGTATATTTTTATCATACTTATTATTTTCCCTCTTACCATACTTTTCTTCTCTTCCTTTGCATATTACTTTGGAAGTCCTTTCAACATTTATTCAAACCTAAGTTTTGAGATATTTATAGAATATTTTGAAAGTTTTCTCCAAATACACTTTAAATACCATTAAGTGGATATTTTATAGTATTTGCATTGTTTAATACTTAGATCAGTCCTTGCTTATTCAACTTGTACCAGAGCCTCTTAAGTTTTAAAAATGGAAAAAAATCAACAATAATTTTGATGGGAAAATATTAATCAACTGTTCATTGAAAGAGGTGCAAAATACATAAAAATTTAAACCAGATCATAAATCAATGTTTTGCTCCCCTCTACTGGATTATTCCTATCAGTTATCTGACAAGCTTCATTGTTTACTGAATTTGAAAATAATTTCTTTGTCCAACAGAGATACCCAAACCCCGTTCAACGTACTGCATCTAAAAGAAATCAGCCATGCTTCGGTACGTAAACTCGAAAATACTCTGCACAGACTCAATGAGAAAATTGACATGAATCACGATTGTTCAAATCATTTAAATTCATCACAAAGCAGGCACTTGTTTCAGAGAGTAATCAGAGTTTTAGATATATTTTTTCTTACCTAAAGTAACTAATCACGTTATCTACAAAATCTGGTAAGATTCTTTTCGCATACGGGTTCACACACGGTGGAATATCCCATCATTGTCTAACAAACCTTCTGCCACCATTTTAATTTTTCTTCGACAAGCTCGATCTTCGGTAAGTTTCGGGCGCGTTTATTGGAACTTCAAAGAAGAATCCCGAGTGGATACATTTCACACCCTCTGAAAATTTTCAAATTATTTCCTAGAAAAGTAAAGGTTGTCCTTGTAGAATTGCTTTGAAATGCACTGTTTTTTCTTTTGTAAAATAACATCAATATAAGTCACAATCTGGAAAACAGAATTTTCGCATCAAGTTACATAGAAAAGGCTCATGGAAATACCGGGGGCGGTAATCTTAACAGCGATATATCAATGCGGGATAACTCTATTGTAAATAATCGCACCTGGCGAGAAGTTGCCTCCAGAGGGTAAAGTACTAGCCTACAAAGGTGTTTTACAGTTTTTACAACCGGTGTAAATTGCATGTTTCTCTTTGTAATTTAAATGAGGAGCTTTTTTTTAATTGAAACACAACAATGCATGTTTGGTTGGTGACACGTGAATATAAATTTTTCTATGATTTTTTGATAGAATTGCACGCTAAAGATAAAAGACTTTTTATAATACACATTAGTAAATAAAAAATGTAATATACTTCTCTTTTTTTTTTTTTTTGCTCAACTCGCATCACATTAAATCAATTAATAAAATTTCATATTAAACTACATTGATTGAGAAAGATCAGTGTGCTGAGATATATATAACATGTATAATATAACATTATTTCTCTAGAAAAAGTCATGCACTGATTATTCTATTTGTAAAATACTGTTGAGACAAATAAGATTTATTTTAGCCACAGAGAGTCTTTGTTTCAGGATGATGTGTATTCAATGTATTGTGTTTCTTATGTGTGTCTTAATAATACCCAAATATTACTATATCATATTAATTCCTTGCAATTTGCTCATGAGTATGGGTTAATTTGAATCCCAAAGAGCAAGAGCCACTTAGGGCCTTTTTTGGCCCTGAGAATTTCTGAAAAATCGAAACTGCTCAGTTTTGGGTGAAAATGCAGTATTTATAACTTGGACCCTTGGTGACCGTTTATCTATTGAACATGACGTAATTTTCTCTCTTAAACACCCAATTTTATGTTAACGCCCACAAAATCTACCTATTCAAGATCAACAGTATACCGCCTGTCAATCATTAAAAAAACAGTAGCTTCTGGTTTTATTGACGGGCCAGCTACATGGACTACCTGGTAATCTGAGTTTGCATGCTTTGAAAACAATCACCTGGTCACGCTTCAAACGCTTTCATGTACCGCGTGAATGGTCGCTTAGTATACACTCTGGTAAAAAAAAAAATCATCTCCCTGTTATATTGGTTGACAATTTTATTTTTGAAAAATAATTGAGAGTAGATAATTAAACAGTGACTTCGTGATTTTTTTTTCAATCTCGATGCATTATTATGTCATAAAATGCGTCATTTTCCCCATATCCTGTAAATTCCCTTAAAAATGGCCAAAAGTTTGGGTATTTTTTCAATATTTCATATAGAGCACAACCTCTGATCCAAAATATGCAATTACATAATGAAAGAATTGTTTCTGAAGATCACAAAACATGTTTTAATTTTTGGATCGTGAGCTGTGCTCATATTTTAATTCTTTGCTGAAGGTAGTCAAATATGCATGTTTTCTGCAAAATTCAAGAACATTGCATTTTCTCAAAGTCTGTTTTCCAATACCTGGATTCTCAAAAATAAATTTTGTGATAGGAAATGAAAGCACCAAGTCTCAGTCTACTTTATTTTAGTATATGAAATTGGACAGAGGGTGATAGTCAATTAATTGATATAATGACAGGGCCATTTTATGCATAAAGTGAACCTAGCTCTTGGTCTAGCTGTTTTTTCCCTTTTTATTTTTTCCCGTTGATGATAATTATTAAAAAAAATAAACAAACATGACATCAATAATTTTATAGGTTGTGATTTAAAGCAATGTCACCCCCAGCTCCAGTGGAGATCAGACCCGGTGTTCCAGATTACAGTACAGTTCATGAACCTCTAGGAGAATTGTTTGAACCTATTACAGTAAGAGTGGATGTATACAGTTTATTACTTTCCATTTAGCATATACATGTATTATTTCTATTTTTATGCCCCCATAATCAAAGATTCAGAGGAATATAGTTTTTGCCCTGTCCATCTGTCTTGTCTGTCTGCATGTCCACAAAAACTTTAACATTGCCCATATTTGATTGGCTTGAATTATGGCTTTCATATTTCACATATGTACTCCTTGTATTCCTTGTAACAAGACCTTCCTTTGGGTACCAACATATTTAACCTCTTGACCTTGGATTTTGACCAACTTTTGCAAAAACCTTGGAGTTTGACCTACTGTTGAAAAACTTGAACCTTTGCCGTAACTTTTGAACAGTTGTTGCTAGGGCTTTTATATTTATCATATGTATTTCTTATGGAAAGGTCTTCCCCTGCGTACCATTAATTTTGACCCTTTGACCTCGTCCTTGGCGTTTGACCCACTTTTAGAAAACTTTAACCTTGATGATAACTTTTGAATGGTTGGTACTTCAGCTTTCATATTTACCAGCTATATCCATTCACACAAGTCCTTTCTTTGGGTAACAACATTTCTGATCTCTTGACCTTGACCATGGAGTTTGACTTGCATTTGAGAAACTTTAACCTTCTCCTCAAGCTGCCATACTGAGGCATCAGTGTTTCACAAAAACATTTTTTTGATGTTATACTTGAGAAGTGGGGATCAAGATACTCAAACATTGACTGAATGTAGTCTCTGAACACTATACTGTCCTATATAGCTATACTTTATAAAATAAACAATAAATTTAAACTGATATTTCTATGTTTCAGAAACCAGCTGAGTGGAAAAAGCACCTGCTAACAGGGGATCAAGTAGACCAGTTCTGGGGAGATGGATTTCTACTCAATGTTCCCATGCTTACTCCAAGGCAGTGTGACAAAATCCTGGAGGATTACAAGATCTTCATGGTGATTTTTAGCTTGAGTCCACTATCATTATGTATTAAGTTTGCTTAAATTTATAACTATGTAACTGCAGAGGTATCAAACTTATGGATCTACTTTAACAGTTTTTGTGCAAAGGGAGATTACTTGTATCATGGTAGTATACTGTTAAATATTTTTGCTAAAAGAAAGGAATGCTTTAATATATTAATGACTTTTGTGTTTTATTGACAGGATAGCTATAGAATCTGATCTAGGATACTGCCTAAAAGCTTTCTTTTATATATTTCATTTATGTTGAGGCCATATCATACAAAACTGTTAATACTCTAACAAACTTTCAAACTGATTAATGAAGCTAGGAATCTGATGAAGAATTTTTGTTTGGGTTGGAATTCACCCAATTGATAAGCAGAATTTTTTTTATGCCCATTGCCATATTGTAAATGAACATTATTTAATTGATTTTTTGCAGGGTGAAACAACACATCCTGGCATGGACATGATGTATGAATACCACAGCAACCAGAGTGGTGACCCCAATAATGTTCTGATTCATGCTTTAGGACACTGGAGGCTGACAAAGCTGTTCCACGATCTTGCCTTTCTCCCTCAGGCTGTGGTATATATCTTCAATATGAAACAAGTACCTGCAAAACCAGAACTACTATAAATTTAACATTAATATCCAGATAAAACTTTCACCTTTTTTGTTTTTTTCCCCCATACTTATTACATGTATTACTTCATATAAAATTTTGCTCATGATTTTTCAAAAGAAATCTTATTCAAAGTTAAAATGAAAACAATATTAGCATATCTTGCAGGGAAAACTTGACAAAATTAGCCCCTTTAACAGAATAATTCTATTAAGGAATATTCCCAGAGTTATTGCCCATATCAGAGGGGCCATGAACCTTAACATACATTTACATACAAAAAAAAACTATGTATTCTTTTTTCACCACAAGTAAACTTTACATAGCTATGGTTTGGAGACAGACCTCTGTAAAGAGATATGATAATTGATGTTTTGTATAACCAGGTTCCTACTTCACAATTACTTGTGAAGGACAAAACACTTCCAGTGAGGTTTTGGCATGATCAGTTGTTTGCCAAGCCAGCTCAACATGGTGGCTGTGTGGCATGGTAAGACAGCTAGCAAATTCCCCTACCCACAACCAAGTATAACTTTACAGTGGTGCTGTCACAGAAGTTTTATTATTGCTTGCTTCTTTTTTTCCTCCTTTTCTTGTGCTCCAAACAAGAATTTGCTATTTTGTAAATCTTTTTCTAAGCTTGATAGCGATATAGCAGTGATAGGTATGCAAAAATATCCCACTTGGAGTAAGTACAAGGACATGGCAAAATAATGTACATTCCAGATTTTTCAAACTATTGGGGCACAAAAGTACCGGTACATTAACAAATTTTTCTAATCCAGATACATGAAGTAATCAGAGACACTTTTAACTTACCATGGTGAAAGGAAGGTATAAGGGTTTTCAAACATACCTGTAGTTGGGATAAAAAAATGTGGAAATAGTGAACCTTTTAGAAATTGTATGTACTCAATAGATCTGGTAGAAAAAAAATAGGCTACCAACTTGTATAGAGTGGTATTTTCCATTTACTTGCACCGAGTTGCTGCCTCCCTTACAGAAGCCTGCAGCTACATGCATTTTCCTCAAATAGTGTTCTCATGATGAGTCTTAAAGTGCTGTATACAACTTTATATTCAGTGCAGTTTCATTTTTAAAGTGAAACTAAAACTTTGTACCATAGGCTATATCACTATACACACAATTATGAATAACAACCCTATGTTAATTGCTACAGATGTTGGTCATCTGGCTCCAGGATCATGAAACAGACTTAAACTTAAGTCAGATTTTCAATAGCCTTTAAAAGGTTTATTATTATTGAATTATTCCCTAAATTTGCAGATAACAAGACTTTTGTGAAGCAATGTTGAGGAATATTTTAATTTTGGTCTATTTGACTTCTACAACATTTTAGTACAACATAAAGATTTTGACTTAAGCTTAAGATGTTTCATGATCCTTGGGCCTGGACTTAATGTACCGGTATCTCAATTTCAGGCACCAGGATTACTCCTATTGGACTAGGACTCAACCAATGCAGCACCTTACTGTAAGTTGTCCTCGAGAAATAGTCCATTTTTCTTTGACGTGTATAATGCTGACATCATTGCTCAGAAGAAATTTGTAAAATGGGAATTTTTTACTTTTATATATGTATTTTTTCCCAGATACACATCGCCCTGGAAGATCAAACCAAAGAAAATGGCACATTGTACTACATACCAGGTTCACACAGGTAAATAAATCTTTTCTCTGCTCAGTTACATTATGGAGGGAAAAAGTATGTGATCAACATTGTCATGGAAAACTTGCACAATAATGTTACAACCTGCATGGAAGATTGAAAGTTTAGAATACATGTACATGTATTCACAATTAATCTCTTATTCTGTTTTTCTGTTTGTCCATCTCTCCTGTGCATACTCTCCTGAAACAAACATTTTTAAGACCTCTCACAGTCAAGAAATACAGGCTTGATGACATCAACTTTTCTGGAAAGAGCCATATTTCCACAACTTAACCTTTATTATTTTATTGAAAACATTTGAGAGTTACAATAAATCATGAACATCTGTTTGATACAATGTTCTTTGTAGATGGACAAGAGATGGAAACCCCTTACCAGTCACTGACTTCAATTTTAAAGACATGGAATCTATTATGGTTTGTACACATTTGGTATTTTACTTTTCATACATGGAGTGAAAATCCGTCACTGAAAACAATGTGTGTTTGATTCTCTTTTTATTTTGTTGAAGACTGTGCTAACAGAGGAAGAAAAGAAAGAATTCAAACCCATACCATCCCTGTTGAAGAAAGGAGAAGCCAGTTTCCATCATGCTATGTCTGTTCATGGTTCCTATGGTAACAGGTAGTGTATCCAAGCCTTACATCACATTGTGCCCAGTTTGAAGGTGAATGAAATCTTTAGTAAAATGAGGTGTTTGTTCCACAGGTATTTGCAGGACTGCATATGAAATCTCTTATAGCACATGCATTTATTCCAGTGTTTCTTTATACATAGTGTGTCCTTGAATAAAGGTTTTTCAGTGCCCAAAAACTTGCATAAATGTCAAAGACAGACAGATTCATTAAATTTTTACCTTATCTAATTTCTCTTCCCTTCTTAAATAGAGCCCTTGGAGACAGATACATGAACTATATCAACTTTATCTAGTTTATGAACATTGTCCATCAGCTGAGAGGGTGCATAATGGAAAAAAGGGGGGTGCATGTCCAGTCCACAAGTACATGCGTGTGCTTTCTTCTCTGTCTGTCTGTCATTCTTCTGCCTGCATTTTCTTTTGATAAAGAATAATAAATCTAGATATCAAATGCAAGAGTTTATTCCATGTTTTTTCCCTAAAGGTTCACCTTTCCCCTGACCCCAACTAAGATACAAACTATACCATTTAAGTAATTATCTTACCTGGACAAATTCCTGTTTTGCATACATTTTTTCTATACCTGGAATTCAAATGTGTGCTAAACGGGAACAAACCAATCAAACATAGAAAAAAAAAATCTTCCAAAACCATGATTAGTCAAAGAAATATGGAAGCATCCTCTGTTAGTGTAGATACAAATGTGAACAAATAATCCCCCTCCATGGGGATTGTATTTGCAATCACTTATATAATCTTTTCATTACAGAACTGATTTCTGCTTTGTCCTGGCCAATGTGCTCTAATGAGCTATGTGGCTCATGGGCCTCTTGTTTATGGTTGTCCTAACAAGTTCAAATTTGGTATGTTGGTTGAATAGGTAGTAAGACTTATTTTGATACTTAGTTTGATTTTCTTTTTCATCCGGTTTGGAGGTTAGATTCCTAACTTTATATAAGAATGAATGGGCAAAGAGAGATAACTGCTGAATATGTCTCTCTGCTGCAATGATAAATTGTCTGCTGTAGAAAATCCTCAGTCTGCAAGTGATGTTTATTTTGAAGGTAAGGTGAATCTTGGATGTTGTTTGCATTCAAAGAAGGGTGGGTTTTTTTTTTTAGATGTCTGTACTTTATTCTGGTTAAAATACACATTTTATTGAAATATATTTTTCATTGGAAATTTATGTAATAAAAAAAGGGTAGAATTAAAAATATCAGTTTCTTATTGTTGATTTCTTATGTCAAATTCTCATCTTACAAGCTGCATCCTTAGATTTCAATTCCTCTGCTGACTGGTCAGTTTTCTAGTTAAACTTTAAAAGTTTACTTGTACATTGTTTAAAAAAGAGAGAATTTTAACCTGATAGGTCAGATGGTCCGAGAAGAGCCGCTGTCCTGAACTACTTTGCTGATGGCACAATATCCAACACAGACGACGAACTTCTCAAAGGGATTACAGTTCCCAAGGTAGGACAGACTGTGTATTTATTTAATAGTGTGGAGGAATATGTACCTCTTGACTGCCACTTTAATGCCTTTGTTCAAATCTCTCTGAAAACTTCATGATGGTACCAACATGTATCAAAATTTTATTTTACTTTTGTCTGCCTTGAGTGCGTTCCCTATACAGACATATTATTTCTACATACACACTACTGATTTTCTTGCAAATCCATATGTTGCCTGTGTGCTAAAAATGGCACCACATGACTTTTAATACAATTGGGGAATAACTTTATAAAACTTCGAAGTAGAATGTTAACAAAAACCCAATTAAAAAAAAACAACAGGACAGGACTCTTTGAGAGGGACAGACAGGAAAGAGATTAAGAGAATTTAACATTTAATTATATTTGGCCAAAGCACTAATTCCTCGTTATGTTTGGTGATAGTGATAGAGAGTAGAAAGTACTAGCATATACAGGCAGTTTATGAGTTTAAATTGTTGCTGAATACCTGATTAACTATTTTGTTCATCCCTGGTCATCATTTTTCTTTTGTTTTTGAGTTTAAGTTTATTTTGTGTTTTTACATACATGTAATTATTTACCATTCCATGGATACTGTACAAGGTTGTATTGTACTCAGGTGACCATTGAGGCCCTTGGACCTCTTGTTTTACAAGTATATGCATTCCCTACAAAATTTAATTTTCTTTCATTCAATAAAGAGTATTCTTCACATTATGTTGCCAAATTTTCACAGAGAATTTTTCTTGTTTCTTTTACTAGGGTAAAAAAATGGATGGACAGTTTTTTCCCATTGTGTTTGATCCAAAGTGGATGGAATGATTCAAATCAGGGAGCCAAACAAGGAAGAGTCTGACAATTTATAGCTTTGACTGTAGACATTTGATTACTGTAAATAACAGAGATATATAAAGAAAAAAAATCTGTTAAAATGATAAGAAAATAATTAGGACCCTGCGTGAAAATGCTGGAGCCCTATAGGAATCACATTGTTTGTCTGTCCGTCAGTACATTTGTTGTGGCACAATAACTCAAACAGTTTTTAACATGATGGTTTTTTTTTTGCACAGAGGTATTTTACTTTTAGAGTAATACACCTATAAAATTAAGGGTCATATTACCTTTGTCTGTGTTTGAGTATATATCAATGACACTTTTGTTGTGACACAATGACTCAATCAGTTTTTAACGTAACATTTTTCAAATTTTACACAGAACTTTTACTATTAGAGAAAGACTGTAATAAATTTAAGGCCCACATATTACTTTGTCTGCCTGTATGTATGTATGCAGGAAATGTATGCGTGAAGGTAAATCTTAAATAGCCCCTAGTGGGGCCCTCTCTGACCGTGTCATTTTTTTCAGCTTTTTATCATTACGAAATCAAAAAAATCTTTTATTTTTCATTTACACTTTTATAATTTTTTCTGACCAGTGTGGCAATCATGCAGTTTATTCTTTGGATTCCACATATACAATCTTTTTTTTAAAAAGTACCTTTGATATAAAATCAATTTTATGCAGTGTCTCTGATTAATTATCTAATGACTCTATGAAAACTTGTATTTTAAAACTGGTTATGTAGTTTATATGTTACACCAACCAATATGATGGCCTTGGAGACATTGAATCAAGGGTGCATTGCTTTCCTGTTTATTTAAGGATACCCGGTGCTTGCTGGTTTGTTTGTTTGTTCATTTGTTTGTTTTTGTGTTGTACACAAATTATCTATATACATTGTATGTGATTTCGTTATGATTATGAACAGAATAAAACTTTAATAATGACCCAGTCTTCCAAATATTGTGTTATTTATTAAAACAATGAAATGCTTTCTTTGTTTGATAAAATGGAATACACAGGTCAATTTTTTCTGCAAAGGTTGCTTCCATTAATTCCAGTAAAAGAAATATTCAAAGAAAGACATTTTATTGTGTATTGTTTATATCTGTATAAATCATTTTTCTAAATTGGATGTAAATACCGGTACATATTGTATACTTTTAAAGGCTGAGAAAATAAGAGCTGCCTTCAAATTAACCTGGTCTGGGGACCCCAGTCAATCAAGTGAATTAGGGTTGGAGATTGGATGCTAGAAATTGACATTTAGTTACCAGTCCCCATGTATCCTTGTGTTTTCTGACACTCATTGCAATTACATTGATTTTATTAAGTTTGGTAATGATGCTCACTGCATAATAAGTGCAACGAATGAACTTTTTTATTGGAAATTTTTTTAGTATGATAAGTACATGTAGAATGTAAAATCATTCCGTCAAATACTAAAAACAATATTGATAAATCTTACTGTTGTAATATTTTTTTTTAAAGCAAATATTTCATCTATAATCTAAAACCCATTCACTTTCGCTCAAACCTTAGCACTTAATGCATGTTATATTAGTATGGCATGCTTAAAAAACTCTAACTACATGTAGTATAGCCTTAATAGATTGATTAACAGGAATCTTTTCCCATAAGAAATACAGAGAAATTTTTCAGTAGATGTTCATAAATATTTTTAAGGTAATATTAAGCTGCAATTCTGGTTCCATCAAACAAGGCACATTTAAAGGGGGTCATGCTTTGAGAATAAAAGTTTAAGAGGAATCAGAATCCCTTCCTCTCATTATACATGTATATCAACTTGTTTCATATATTTTTAAATTACATGTAAAACCATTCTAATATGACATGCATTGAGAGCTGAGGACTGAGCCAGAATGGATTTTGTTAGATTATAGACAGTGTCAAGTAAAGCCATCACTTTCAAATAACAGATATTCTGTTATATAACCAGGATTTGCATTGAACTAGGGTACATAGAAACTCTTTCTATATTTTCATTAATTTAACTACCTAAGCTACGTCTTATAAGAATGTTTATCTTCATGACCTTGACTTTCCTTATGACACTAACCATAATTTCTTAAAAGTGTGTCTGGCCAATTCTCATACAACTTATACATCTTGACGAGAGCATTCTTCCTGAGCAGCAGTGCCAGGATTTTTCTACCTTGACCTTGGTGTGTACATGTAATAAAATTAGGAATTGTATACAGTAAAGCATGGTTACTGCAGACACACTTGTAATGAATTCAAGTTTACAGCAAAATGGTTTTTTCATTCCCTGTACAACATATTATGACCTTAATGGATATAACAAATTATGCTTATAACGAATCAAAATTAGTCAACCTGGCATTTCACTATAAACATTTTTTACTGTATACAAGTAATTATATTATAATATTCGAAATGCAATCATCATGTACACTTGCACAGTTGAGCCAGTTGCTTTACCTAGCAACCTGGACAGATTATGTGCCAAATTATTTTTTATATGATCATCAGATCCCAATTTTACTGCTACAGTAGTAAAAGAAAATAAACTTTCACTTTGTACTGTTTTATTAATCACCATTTTATTGCCTGTTAATGAGGTTTTATAGATGAATTATGGAAGAGAAAATAAATATTATGCTATAAATCCCTTTCTCCACTATGGGATTCTGCCTGAAGCACTTATTAGAGTACTTGTACATTAAAATACATTAAAGTGCAAATAATTATTAACACCCTGTTTCTGAAAAAAAAAAAAAAAACAACATCACACCAGCAAGCTCTCACATCCAGGACATTAACAAATGCACACTTGAACAAATCACTAACAATTCAATGATAACGAACAACTTGCATCGGCAGCAATTTGTTCATACTTCAAACAAGCCATGATCAAGAAGAGATTTCACAGTTCCTAAGTTAACAACTACATCACTTTTTCAAACTTAATACACTAACAACAAATTATACAACCACACAAATACAACCAAAATTTAAACATAAAAACTGCTGGGGAACTGAGGATTCATTGCCAATATATACACATACAGGGATTTAAAATGACACAATTAATAGAATGTGGAACTGTGTCTCTAACAAAATACATTAGATAAACAAAATAAATAAATACTGACTAGAGAGATATATATCTAAATTACATGTACTAACCATATCATATGTATATTTGTATTTTACATCATGACAAATAATAAAGTTGTCATGTAACTCTATCAGATCTAATGGTGCTTTCATTGCTTCAAAACTACATGGTGAAAAGCTGCACTAATCATACTGAGTTCCAAAGATGACCAAGATGGAGTGATTTAAAAATCTGATCTTCTGCGTAAATCAACAGGGCAGTGTGTAGCCTATTAGCAAACTAACTAGTTATAGCATGGCAAAAATACTGAATAAAACAATGCATTAATTACCCATAATTTCTATGAAAAAAATTGAACTTGAAAAAATGAAATTCAATATGGGAATGGGGATACAGCATTTAACTATAAAAAAATGATCATTATTGCACATTGCCACAAAGTTTTTTTTTTATTGAATGAGTTTTCAAAAAAATTACTGTGTTTATTGAAATAGTTTCTTTAATCAAAAACAGAATTCTGAAATTGAATTTGTTCAAGCAGTCTGGTCCCTATTAAATTAAATACTTGCATCAAAGCACTGTGGATAACACATATTGACTTAGTAACTAATTGTTTTTGACACTGTAAAATGGTTTGGGACCTATCCTTACAGGCTGTGGTGTGCTTATCCCTTCCAATGTAGATAGGACACTTGTTGAGGGTAACTCCAGACTATGACGAACATTGACAAGAGTAAGGGATTCAGATGATCGCGAATTAGAACGACCAAGTCCTAAGGTTGGCGACTCGCTGTGAACTCTCTGTCGGACATTACTCCTTGGTTCTTCCTCATTACCTTCCCGCTTATTTTCGAAAAATTGCATCAGTTCTTTAATGCTCCCCCGTCTTTTGAGATGAGTGGCAGTTTCTTCTAGGGATTGAGAATGTTCCAAAGTTAAAGACCGGCTCATCACATCCTCTGAAGCATTCCCTCTGGATGCCCCAGGAGAAGATGTGTTTAACACAGAACAAGATTTGGTCATCCTTTCACTTTTCTCTGAGCTCACCACAACCTTACTTTTTCCAGATGAGTCTTGAGTAGACGTAAAAGATTGATTGTGACTTTGAAAAGAAACATGTCTTGTTCCTCTTGGAGAACCATCAGATCGGACCCTCAGAACTACTGGTGAATTTTCTCCTGAAGACTGATGATGTCGAATGCTTCTTGGTGAACTCTCTTCAGAACAACGTCGGATTCCCCTTGGTGAATCATCTGATGAAATTTGGCTGAAAGGTGAGGAATCCCTCTGAGATTTTGGGGAGCTTTTAGAACTGAGAGATCCCTCTCTAGCAAATTTGGGAGATCCATCAACAGATCTTGGTGATGACCTTGTTCTCTGGTCTGCTTCACACATAGAAGACTCACTTCCAGTCCTATTTCTTGAAACACTTCTATGTTTTGGTGGTTTACCAATTCCTACAGATTTATCAATTTTTTCACTTTTTATTCCCATGCTTTTTGAAAATTGGAATTCATATCCCACATCAGTGGAAATGCTTCTTCTATTCCCTGGAACATTAAAACTGTCTGAAACAACACTGCATGCACCAAATTGCTGTTCATGACATGACTGTTCGATCTGTGATAATGATTTTTGCTTTCCAAATGAGGCTCTGGCATTCACAACCCTATATGTGTCACAAGTATTCTGTTGATTAGGCAAACACACTAAACTCTCCTGGGAAGAAGGATTTGGTTTTTTGTGTTTTTCACTTTCTTTACATGATTTCTCAAACAGTTCCTTCAAACTTTGCAGTTTTGCCGACTTGTGAGCTTTGGTGAATCTGACGTCTTCAGTTTGATCAGTGTTGTCTGCTGTAAAATTATCATGTCGAGATGATGCCAACTGTAGAACAGATTCATCAAGAGAACTACGATTTGGAGGGTCATCTAAGGAAGAAAAATTCCCACCTCTCTCTGCCACAGATTTATGTTGAACTCGGCTAACTAATTTACTCCTAGTAATATTTGATTTAATGTCATCCACGAAAACATCATCATTCAAGTCAGAAACATCAACCAACTCCATTGCTTGCTTGCGTTCTGTTCGTTTAGGTAAAGGAACAGGTGCCTTTTTCTTGAAGCTGGCTCTGTGCTCCACAATCACTTCATTCTCTCCTCTCTCTGAACTGCCTTCACTTGACAAGGTATCTTTTTTGGATTTCATTACAAATGGCCTACGGACTTCCAGAAATTCCTGTTCAGGAGGCGGAAGTTGTGGAAGTGGTCCATTAGCACCACTGCAGACATCAGTTTCCATGGCAGTCTCTGTTTCACGAGAGGGAATAAAGTATGCGTTCTGGTTTAGTGAAGATTGAAGAGTCATATTTAGTTCTTTGTCTGCATTAATTGCATTCTGAGCCTCTTCTTCAGAGTTATCAATGTGTTTTACCATTTGACTGTAAGGTTCAATTTGCTCCACAACAAATGGTTCTGCAGTTATCAATGGCCCCTGTGATAACATTCGTATGTCCTCTGCTGGTCTTGTAATTGATGTATACCCTGATGCAATCACTGAAGCTTCAACCTCCATTCCATGTGGATGATCATATCTTTCATCAATTCCTAGATGATCTGGGAATTCATGAACAAGTCCAGACTGTACGTCATCATTTAATGAAGAACAAGTATCTTGGCCCTTCATTGCTTTAAATCTGTCTTGCATTCTTTCTCTCATTTCATTGCTGAGATTCTGGTGTGTTGGGATTCCAAAACAACTCTCATTTATATCTATTTCATTCATCATACTACTATGCCCTCCAAATGGAGTTATATCAGTGTTACTCATAGCTTCCATTTCAGTGTTATCCATTCCATATGGCATGGGCTCAGAATTGTCATAATAACTGTCAGACAAATTTACAGGAAAGCTTGCTTCACCTCCCAGTAAATCATTCCTATTACTGGCATTATCACTTTTATCACAGGTTAGCTTGGAAGCACCTGTTATTGGAACTTCATCTGTGTTTTCAAACTTAGGAAATCCAGAAAGCTCCAGAGGAGGCAAGACTGGCATATTTAACACCACTTCTTTTCCATCTATTTTGTGAACTTTGTTAACTTTTTGTCCACTTTCAGATTTATCCATTTTATGCTGAATCTCAATTCCATTCCTTTCCGCTGAGTGCCCCACAGCCCTATTGTAACTATCAGTCCTACATATACTGAATTGATTGTCAATACTTTCTTCATGCACCATCAGACTTGCCCCTGATTCACTCAAATGCATCTCTGAACTTGAAGAAGTGTCACAACTACCCTGTGTAACAATACTACAGTGCTTAATCTGAGGGAGATCACAGTCAGTCAAACATTTCTTTATCATGGGTTTTTCTTCGACTACTGTTCTTTCATCCGTGCTACACTCTGGTGTTCTTTCTCTGTGATTCGATGATTTTGGAACCTCCATGACGGCTGGCATTGTTGCAGACCTCTTCAACAAATGCTTATCATCAGAATGAACATTGTCTTTGTTATCATTCAATCTACACACATCCCCAGTAGGTGCAAGCTGGTTTTTCCAAAGTTCATTAAAATTTGAAAGATCATGCAACTTTTTATCAAATGAGTCTTGGCATTCCTGGGTTGAAGGAACTTGTGTGGTTGGTTTGACTTTACTTGCTTTGCCCTGAGGTTTGTTTGGAGACTTATCCAAGCCAGCCATAGCTCGAAAATCTTGATTTAGACCTGCTAAATCTTCCCACCTTGGCTGGTTTCTTGGAGAACGTGGACTAGACGTGGATTTGGAGTCTGTGCTTGCTGAGGAAAGAAGTAAATGAGGAAAGTCTCTTTTAGCAGATTGTTTAGGAACTGCAGACTGAGAATTTTCAGGTCTGGATGACTGTTTAAGCCTGGCTTCAGGACTTGAAAGACTAGACACAGTAGAAGAGGAAGAATTAGAGTCAGTTCTTGTAAGTGTCTCTCTCTTCATTCCTTGCTGTGCAAGGAAATACAGATCATCATCAGACAAATCAAAAGTCACTTTTCCTCTCCTGGATAATTTTCTTTGTTGTGAATCACACTCGAAAGGCTGATCAGGACTAGTTGGGCTCATCATTGGTGAAATAAATCCCCCACGGGCAGCACCAGGGCTAGACACTGGGCTGTCCTGTCGACAGGGCTGTGTTGGCGTGTTTGGTTGTGAACGCTTTAGGCGTCTCTGAACTGGACTTGTGAGTGGTGAACTTCCTGTCCTCCCCATGATTGGACTCGACACTGGGGACATGGTGGGCAGTGAGGAAGCATATCCTTTCTGGGTTTGTTTGGGAGATTCTTGAGGTGAGAATATTCTGGACTCTGATGATGCACTATGAACTTGCTGTACAGAGGAAAATGTGACGAGATGTTCTTCAGGTGTTTGTGTTTTTGAGTGGTATGATGAGGATGAGTTGTTTGTAGATTCAGCAGACTGTCCAACATTCAGTGAAAAGTTTTTGTCTTTGGCACTACGTAATGGAGCACGAATTAATCTAGGGGTTTCTACTACTTGCACTTCAGCAGCAGGCCTGTCCACAAATGTATTTGAGTCTTGAATGGCAGATTCATTAATACTGGTTGCAATCTCTTCCTTGAAATCACCTGAATCAATAGACAAACTTTTCTCCTCTTTTAGTTTTTTGGCCTTTTGGACTTCTTTCTTGAAAGCCTGGTCAATTTGAGCATTTATCTCTATTAATGTCCTAGTGAGTGGAGATTCGGTCAAACTATCTAATGAGGCACTTCTTCGCTTTCGTTCCAAACCACTACTGTTCTCCTCACCGAGACTGAAACTGTCAATAGAAGTGGATACTTCACTCAGTGTGATGGAAGATAACAAATCTGTCTGACTTCCAGATGTCAGATTCTCCAGTGATTTCTGAATATCCGAGGGAACACTTAAACACTTTGACATCTTAGATTGTTCTTCAGTTCTAGATTGATGAAATTCCACAGAAGAAAATTTTGTTTCACTTTCACTATAGGAATAGGATGTTACACTGTTATTAGCAGCTTGGTTGATAGATTTGAGGTTTGTAGCCTGATCAATGGATTGGAGAAGATCAGAGTCATCAGATGGAAGATAAAACATACCATTGTCTACATTATCATAGCTGTCAGATAAACGGTTTACATTTTCCTCTGCCCTTAGGCAAGAGGATGACTGAGTATTGTTACCCACTTCATTTTCACTACTGTCGGTAATTTCTGCATAGTCATGATGTCTGGAGAAGTAGTGCTGTGGTGGTGGTTCATCTGGTGTTGTAGATGGGGTGGATGATGAACTGCTCAACCAGTTCTTCCTTCGAGCTCCTGGACTTTCTGGTAAATCGATCACTTCCTCTTTCTTCTGAGATTTATAACTTTTGTCTGTGATTTTTTTATGCTCCTTAGGAGATGTGGACATTTCCTTTGAATCTCTTTGTGGTGATTTGGAGTGCCTCCCTTTATGACTGTCATTTGAGGGACTCTTACCCTTTTGATCAATGGGTCTTAACAAGTCTTTGTCATCCATATGTAACACAAACTTTTCTGCATCAATGGAAGATGACATGAGATTTTCCCTCAATCCCTCTGTGCCCCGATGCTCAATTTCGACAACACTTTGTGAGATGCCTTTTTGCTTTGACATTTTTGGACTTCGGCTTTTTTCTCGAGATTCATCCATTTTTGGACTTAGAGGTGCTGAAGGTGTCCTCCGATGAGATACCACTCTTCGCTTTGGCTCAGAGCGAACAAAATTTTGCTTCTGTTTTCTTTTATCTGGATTTTCATTCTCAATACCATCTGAAAAATAAAATGCACCAATACATTATGAAATCTATTTGTATGTGAGCACAAACATTCTGCATCATCTGTTTTAAAGTTTTTGAATACTGACATGTATGGATGTTGAAAATAATTTTTTGTCAATTCCTATGAAGATTATATTTCATACCCTTTGAGTTATCAACATCAATAGCCATCTCTCTGGAGCCAGCCACAATATAGCTAGGGTACTTAATCTCCTCTGTATGAATAAGATTCCTGGGGGACTCAGAAGAAAGAGATCTCTTGTGACCCAAAGGACGTCTGCTTTCTTCCTCTGTGAAATAAATAAGATTCTATCAAAATTTCTCTTATCACTAAAACTTAACAAATAAAGAACACATGTATATCTAAAATAAACCCATCATTTACTACTTTCTCTGAAAAAATGCAGTTTTTAGTCTCCCCGATTTCATTTTATGTAAAACCAAACCTTTCAACATTACCTTGGAACATTTTCATCAGCATATTCTCATCTACGAGTCTGGACATCCTCTTGGTGCTATCAATGGAAGAGGACTGTTGGAGAACCAGCAGTGACTCAGCACTTTTTGCGCCCCTTAGTCGCCTTCTCTTCCATGTCTGCACATCTTCCTCTGTAATGGCCTTCCTTTCCATCCCAGTGCCTAGAGATTCTATAAGAAATCATTTTCATTTAAGAATGATTTTCCAGTTCAATCTGTATGATTTCTATTTCTTCTTACTTGTTGAAATTTTTTTGGTTTGTTATCAGGCTCTATGAGTTAATTCTCTTACGTGACAGTCCACTTTTATGGTTTTTGTGCTTCATACTGCTTTGTCGATTTCCCTTTGAGAATATGGACCTCCATCCACTAGGAGACTTTTTTGTTTTTAAATTTCCAACCTCCTTCAAAGGAACTTTTTTTCTGTTGAAAAAAGAGAGAGACAAGAGTTACCGTATATACTCGCCTATAAGTCGGTCCGCTTAAAAGTTGGTTGTATTTTTTTCAGATTATTTCGGAAGAATTGTCCATTGACTCGCTTGTAAGTCAATGCAGCTTTTAACTAGAATCTGTTGCCAATTTCAGATTAATAATCTATTGTATTTACCACTCTTTCAAAGTATATAGGCAGTGATTCATTTTGGTGTGCGTCCTGCATAAATTACGCATAAATTTTGCTCAGGACGCATTATTTCAATAAATGTGCATCCCAATGGACGCATTTAATTTATAAAATGAAAGGTATAATTTTAAATTATTTCGATATAATCTGCTTCAAAACTTGGCCGATTGCATCATATCCACGTGCTAAACGATATGCATGAGCGAGTTTAGCAAGTATAAGGTTGTCAACAACAGGTCAGATTTCACACTTCACTGTTAAATTGCATTTAACAATGAAACAATTATCAGAAAAAGAAAGTTCAATTTTGTCTGCTGAAGCGTATACTATACGTTTGTATTTTAGCTGTAACCTGAATCATTTCAATTTCTTCCGTAGAAGCTAATAAGTATTTTATCATTCTTCTTTCAGGCTATTTTTCTTTTTTTTTCAAAGAAAACTTTCTTTACTTCATTCAGTAGAACAACTGGTCTGCTTCTGTGCATTTTATGACAGAACTGTACATATCAAAATACAAATTATGTGTGAAATCGTAAGTACGATCTAAAAATAGAACCAAGGTGCACAGCTGACAATATATTATTTACATGCCACAAAATCATTTATTCTTACTTCCAAATTGATAGTAATTATAGTATAAACCACTCACAGCTTCAATAAAACAACTGCACTTTCGGACAAAACCCTTTTCTATTTCACCAGAATTTCCTCTGCAGTATCTAATATACAGTACTATTGAGTACCCTTGGATTTGGACGCATTGATTTTGGCATGGGACTCATTGTTGTTAGTAAAAGGGGTCCTTTGGACCCATGATAACCAATTTCAAAATGAATCACTGTATGGGGTATGACATCGGTATTTGATCTTTTATTAACAATTTAAACAAATACAAGATCATTTAAATATCTAAGTACTTGTCTTATATGTATTTGGTAACCTTAGATCTTCATTTCCTGCATTAGATCAAGTTCAGATCTTTATAAACGATTATCGTTGGAGTTGTTACAATATTACTATATTTCCTCTACCAGAAAAATTCCTAATTTTCTAGGACTCGCCTATAAGTCGGACCTAGACTTTTGGTTCAAAATTTAACTCCCAAAAACCCAACTTATAGGTGAGTATATACAATAACTGGCAATTCAGTATGATACATTTAAAAGCCCAGAAAACTTATTGAAAATTGGAAGGGGGATGATTCCATAACTTCCAGAAATAGGAAAGGGGCAATGTCTCACCTGTATTTTGACAATTTTGATGTTTCTTAAAAGGCCTGTCTTTAAAATATATTGATATATCAAGCATATGGAAGCAAATATTTCCTCAGTATTTTCATGCACACATACATGTAGATTTATTTGTTCATGAGGAAGTAACTTCTTGAAATACCTGTAGCCTGGTAGATCCAAGACCGTGTGGTATTTCTCAGGTAAGCCTTTAGGCCCACTGCCCACATCTATGTACTTCTGGTGTGGGGGACGTAGGCTTGCTGATAGAGCCCTTTCTCTGGCTTCTTCTAAAGTTATCAACTTTGTTGGAGTGGAGATTGCCAGGGATTTGGGTCTGGGCTTTTTCCTCAAAGCTAAAAATAAAGTCATAGATCCTTTAAAAATAAAACATTTTACTGATTCACAAAATGTATGCACACGCAAATTATTGCAGATGTTATCTAAAGTCCAGATTTGAGAGGAAAAACATTAATTTTCTTTACGTTTCAGATCTGGTGAGGAATATGAGGGTAGTTTGTCACTAAAAATGAGGTCAGCATACACAATCAAGCATTCAGTGACAACAGCCTGGATCCCCACACCCTGTAAAGCTGCAGCCCCTCCCCCACACTCCAGCTCCTTTGACCTAAATGAAAAAAAAGATAGTTTACTTGACTGTATATCAGTATGTGCACTTTATTATGTGTGAGGATTTTGAAATCTGCCCAGAAAAAAAATTAGAATTAAAATCTAGTTGTGTACCTGAGAAGATTAGGGGCCCACACTATGGCCAGATTCTTGGAATGCATACCAGTTTCTTTGCCAAATGCTGCAACTTTAGCTAGGTGGCGCATTAGGAACTCGGTTGTCCTGTTTTCACATAAAATCATTTCAATTGTTGCAAAAAACATTATGCAGTGTTCATTATCAAGTTAATGAGAATGATAAGAGCTTTGTTCTCTCTGTTACAAATAAATAATTTTTCTAAGCTAAGACAAACCTGTAGTGGGGAGGAGGAAGTTGCTGGACAACATCATGGATCTTCCACAATTTATTGTCTTCATCTCTTACAGCTTCCTAGAAACATGTTAATTAATATGCATAAATTTCTTAGTGGAAATCTGACAACTTTATTGATCTGTCAAACTATTTTCATTTTATGTTCAATAATTTCTGCTTTTAAGTAGCACATTCTTGCTCTGTTAAATATTTGAAAATGACACTGTTCTAGAAAATGAAACACTTCTCAAGATTTAAAAAATTTCAGAATGAAAAAAATAGTTGTAGCATCCTGACTAACTTACAGCAAACTTGTCATAAAGTTGATAGGTAAGGAGTGGGTTGGGCAGCTCCCTGAAGTACATTTTAAGCAGTGAGCTTATACAGTGTATATCTTGTAGGTAAATCTCCTCCGTTAGGTCAGGAACTCTGTCCTCATCAAAGGCCAACCTTTATAGGACAAAAAATGTGACATATTCATTTCTGAATATTTTACCTACATGTGTTTATTAAGCTGTGAGATTTTCTTTAATCAAATGTAAATAAATGCATTTGATGTACCTTAATTTTTGTATGTTGGATGTGATTCCAGAAAGCCTGTAGATGCCATCAACAATTCCCATCTCCTCAATAAAGGCAGAACAACACTTAAGGACAAGAGGAACTGCAACAGAAGTAAAAAGTATTCACAGAATTCTTCTGTACTATTTTTTGAACTCAGAAACAGTAATGCACTGTTTTAAGTTCATTTTGAGTAAAATTACTGTCATTTCTTAATTTTAAGTAGACTTATTCATTAAGTCATGTCTCAGGTTAATTTTTAATTTTTAGTAGACTAATCATGTCTCAGGTTTATTTTGAGTACACTTACCATCATGTCCCGAGTTCAGCAGATGCTCACCAAGGTCACATCCAAACACTCTCTCTTTGACAATGCCGGACTGTTTTAACTGGTTACGAGGGGGACGTGTGGAGAAAAACATCCGCAGAAAAGTTAAAAATTTTCCATGTTTACGCACTACTGTAGAATATTAAAAGATATGCATTAACAATAAATTCAGTTTACTATTAAAAATGTATAATAATTTTGCACACATTAAATATGACAGGCAAAAATGGGTGGAAATTCTAAAAGACCAAAATGTAAAAAACAATAAACTCAAACTTTCTTCAGAGAATGCACATCTTATTGAATGAATGCCTGTTCATTTCAATGTACTCCAGTACAATGTAAGAAAGCATTGGTACAGAAAGTGTAATTGTGTCAAGGTGACTTACTATTGCTATTGACTGGCACCATAGATTGGACGGATGCTGGGATCTTGTCTCCTATCACCTCCACACACTCAGCAGGGAAAAAACCCACCTGTAAAATCACCAGTAATAAAGAAACAAAGCTTCCTAGATATGATGTTATAGAACTATGTTATAGAAAAACCATGAAATAGAATTCATTTTTTTTTTTTAGCAACTACACTGTAATGTTTTAACAAAATTTATCTGAACTTTTATAAAATATGGGAAAAAAATGCGAAGGTCACTGAATTAAAATAAAGACCCCCCTAACCAAATACACACATATACAAACACATTTTCAACAAAAATAACAATGACCAATCGTCTTAATAGCAAACAAATTTATAAATATAAAGAGTCTGATAAAAATTTAAATTAAGACCTTTTTAATAATCCTGGCCATTTTTGCTGGCTTACCTCAAAACCTCGTTTTCCTCTCCACCAAATTGTGTCCTCAATAGAAGGCATATCAATCACAGACACAATGTCTCCAACCTGTTATCACAGAAAAAGGATTTAATACATCAATAATAATAAAAATTGCAACAAAGTAATAATTAAAAATATTGATTACACCTGGAATGCATTGTTACCCAAGTTTGTTCTAAAAATGATACAGAATAATGATATTGCTTTGATAAATCATTCTTCAATACTTTTAAAAGCAAGTAATTGATACATCAAAATGAAACCAAAGCTGACAAGAGTTACCTCTAATGATATTTCATCTATAGCCTGTGAAGTGTATCTTTTTACTGCATGAGCTGCCGCTATGGCTGGGGTATTGATTCCTGAATCATCCACGACAAGTAATCTGTTCCCTCTGTTGTCAATCTTAGAAAATAGATCACACACCTCATAAATCACTCTAATCTATAATGAGTGTTTGTAAATGACAATCTCAGACACTATTTATTTCTGAGGCTGGCTTAGTACATTTACTATGCCTTGTCATACATCACATACTTTACATTTATTGAATATATACTGTGAGCTAGGATTTTTAGAGGTCTAAAGAAAACCCATCCGAGTAACCAGGTACTCAATCGGAAAAGTAAGCCAGTAACCGGTTACTTAAAAGAGTTAACTCATCTTTGATTTTTCTTTCTTTATAAATATGTAGGAATAATGATTTGAATTCCATAATTTTTTCAGTGAGAGTGTCCACAAAGTTAGCCATATAATTTTGCAAAGATGTAGAAAAATTATGCCAAAGAAAATTTAATGGAACCAAATTACCTAAATCTATATGGGTTTAAGTAAATTCAAGTTATAAATAATATGAAAATAATATTAGTTATACCTCAAACCAGTTGAGCACTGAACCACAGTTGATCATACTACCAGCAATGTCTGAAAACCTCTTCAAGTAAGACTGCAGAAAAAGTTCCATTTCCTAAAAAAAAAAAAGAAAAAAAAAGAGCAATGACCTCAGATTTAATCAAGTGAGGTACCTCCTTGCATAAGTAATCCATTATTGTAAAACAAATGAATTTGTACACAAAGTGTCAAACTGATATTAACCACAAATCAATAAAGGCAATAAGTATAAAAAATATCACTGTTAGCAGACTTACACATAGAAACATTACCTACAAAACTTGAGAGAAATGCATTATTTTTTTGCAAACACATCTATACCTTAGAAACGCTTCCTTCATCAGACTTTTGAAGATCTGGTAATCTACTGAACTTGCGGTCAAAAATGCACTTGTGCAACTGCCTGTCCAGCATGCAGAAGTTTTTGAGTGTCCGCTTGACCATCCACGACTTGTTTCCACAGGTGATCTTGATGAGGTATGCTGTTCCCTCCTCCTCCCCATTGACGTGGTGGAAATTCTCCTGCTCTTCATCACACAAACTTACCTGTTGGGAAAGTCATAATTATCCGAAACCCAAACATAAACTTTTTGTTTTTATTCAAGCTAATTCTTATAGCCCAAATTTATAATATATGCTGAAGTTTGGAGCCAGAAATGGAATAGTTAACATGTTACACTTTTTTTCCACAGATAAAAAAGGTTTATTTACAAAATTTTAATTTCTTTTGAGAAGGATAAAAAAAACTTTCAATAAAATGTTTTCAAACTGACTTCAATGACAAATATACACAAATTTACCTGAAAACCAGGAAGTTCTACCACATCATAATGAAAATGGGCACACTCCAAAAGTTTGGGGAATCTACTGGATCCATCTACTGAACTGCAATAAACAAAATCCAGTCGTCACAAGTTCTGTATAATCATCTCAGTTCTTTAGGTTTTATAACTTTGTTTAAAACTTTCACAATGATTGTCATTTGTGAGGAGTTTTAATTTTAAACCAAAATAAAAAGCATCAGTCTCTGTAAAGTAAATTCCTGAACTTTATAATATGAAAGGTTTTATCAGATTTTTTAGAATGCATCCTTTAGAATTCAGTGATCAGGATAAGAAAAAGGCTAAATGCGACAATGGCACGTTCCAAGTCAGTGTCAATGTGACATTTCTAAAAACAATGCGCCATATGAAATTTTTTAGAGGACTTGTATTGAAAATGGCAGGTTAAAACTTGATATTAAGGAATTCACTGCAAAATTAAGAAAAGTCTGGCCATTCTCCAGACGGGGATTTTTTTCAGCGGCATATCTTCAACTTCTACGCATTAATGTCAACTTATGGTGTTAACCAATCAGAAAACATTTAACTGTTTGATAAGATACTGAAGAAATCTAAGTCATTGTTATGCTTTGCTGGAAAGCAGTTACTTTCATTTTTTCAAGTGAAAATATGACCCAACTGTTAAAGCATTGTAGCGAAAGAGATTACAACCCAGTGGGGAAAAGCTCAAAGTTTAAATTATGCGTGATGATGATATGTGCCAAAAAGGCGCAACGTTTTTAATAGTAATGCCTCATTATTTAATTTAATGCAACTATGGCGCAGGGCGCATGCTTATCCCAATCACTGAGAATTACACAAAGTTTTAGAGAAGTAATCCCAGATACAAATTTATAAACATACATAATCAGAGATTACAGAGCTCACCTCAATGAATGTTGTCTTTAAGTAAGGCAAAGTCCCACACTTAACTAATAATCTAGTAGTGTGCATCCCTAGATGCAACATTTATGCAATTTTGGTCTGATATGGCTTGCTGCTTTGGAATGGACTTATCTAAAAACTTAAAACTAGTCACTCATCCAGAATATTCAAGTCAAATCCAGCATCTGAAGCAAGTTTGAGAGTGTTTGTCCCTTGATGCATCATCCATGCAAGTTTGGTTCAGATAGGCCTTATAGTTACTTAGAAATGAGATCTGCTCCAGAAACTTCAACCTGGTTACTCATCCGGAAAATGTAGGTCAGATCCAGCATCCGAAGCAAGTCCAGTGGTGTGCATCCTTAGATGTATCATCCATGCAAGTTTGGTCAATATTGGGCTTATAGTTAATTGGAAATGAGACCTGCTCCAAAAACTTTAACCTGCACTAAAAACCTTAACCTGCTCCAAAAACATTAACCTGGTCATTCTTTAGCTGAAATTGCAGCATCTGAAACCTTGACTGATACAATGAAACACACTAGAAGCATCCTCCATGCATCTCTGATTGATATAGGGCATAGAAGCACTTGAAAAGAAAACTGCTCCAAAAACTTTAACCTGGGACGCCGACGCTGAGGGTATTACATAAGCTCCCCCACTTCATTGAGGTGAGCTAAAATGTAATCCCGGACACAAATTTTATAGAAGTTATCCCGGACATTAATTTTAAGTAAGTAATCCAGGGCACAATTTTTACAGAAGTAATCCCAGACACAAATTTTATAGAAGTAATCCTGGACACACATTTTACAGAAGTAATCCCTGGATTACCTGGAGACCCTCCTAATCCTCATGTAAGAGGAGGTGCTCTTGAAGGAATCCAGGCTGCCTGTGTCCGAACTGTCATACATGTGCTGGATTCCACCATGCTGAAGGGAAAACAAGAAATTAATTTCTGATACCATGCCTCCTTAACCGATAATCAAAGTCTGAGGTTCATACAGCATGTTTATTTCCTGTATATCCAACATGCTCAATCAATAACATTTGTCAGTAAACAAACAAATGATCAGTTAATAAAATATCTGATATGAAATGACGTAAGACTTCGAGCCTTATTATCTAGTGTGTGCATTCTTTCCGTGTCATGGAGATCTTTTTTTTTTTTTATTAAGTACCTAAATCCTGTATTGATCAATTAGAGACATTTACCACCGACATGTTGAAGAGGACTCACTTGGAAGTTAAAAGTAATGAATCTGTCTTCCTTGAAATGATCCACTTTGAAAATACAAAGATGCTGCATGCTTTGTTGTGATTTCACTTCAAACTATATGTGTCTTATGATGGAATGCTTAGTAAAGACCCAACACATTAACCAATTTGGTTCTAGGATAATGGATTTTCATGAAATTATGACCCTCTTCAATCACAACATACTGGTAATGAATTGTGGACAGTTTGGAATAACCTTAATTCAAATACAGCTTCAAAGCAAAAATTTATGGAGGTCGTACTTTTAAGACTAGGACCACATGATAACATAAATTATTAATCATTTTTCCATTATTTGCAACAAAATACCTTGGAATAATACTGTGTGCCGGTTCCTTCTGATCGAATTGTGGCAGTGCTGCATTTTCTGTAGGGCTGATTGTCATCTTCATCTACCCGTACATTTCTGAAACATGGAAAATCATGCATTATACACACCTTAAGGACATCCAAGATCTGCCCTACCTCAAGCTATATGCTCTGTAATATTACCTAGACTTTTACCTAAACTTTCCTGTATATGGTAGATGACCTATGTGACTGACATCCTTCATAAAACCTTAAGGTAGCATCACTATTCTACATGTCTGCATTCCTACCCTTCTGGCATGCTTGGAATAGTTGTACATTGTAATTTTGAACTTCAAACAGTTAATATAATTTAACATTACTTCAAATCAATATTCATAATTTTAAGGACAGGTGCTACAAACAAACTAGAGTGTTCAATGGAACACCTGGTGTCGCCTGCTTTGTAGCTTCATTAAAGATGTAAATAAATCTAAGAGTGGTCAGCTATATTTATTTTCTACTAGCATTAGAGTTCATGCATTTGTCTGCAAAGAAAAAAAAAACATCCACAGATAGTATAGGACTGCGACAGAAATTGAGAATCAAAGAAAACTATGGTCCTCCAACCCTCAAAGGAATAATGAAATTGAAATTATTAGAAATAATTATTTATCATTTATCAGTTTCAACGTACAGTGTCATGAGCTCATAAACAATGTATAAATGCTAATTATCAAAACCCTGCCTCTCTAACTTCAAAAGACATAAATTAAAACCTCTAGAGTATTTTTTTTGCAAAGTATGTCAAAAGTCAAGGTCAAGTGGACTGTTACAGTAATACTTGTATTTTTCATAATGTTTTATGACAAACAGTACACACGCTAAATAGCATAGACTTACCTCTAAGATGTAATTAATATGCAGTACGAAATATGAACTACATGTATTTTGAAAAAGTTGGTTAAAGGTCAATTTCTAGAATCACAAGGTCAGTAACCATGGTATTTCACAAAAGTCATAGTGCCAAGTGGGTATGTGCAAAATATCATATACCTCTTACAGTTTTCGAGATATAAGATGTTACAGACAGACAAACAGATGCCGAGTAAAGTGATCCGTAAGTGTGTTGCTCTGCTCTGCAGGTGACACAAAAACTAGATGCATCGATCAGTATCTATACTTGGATTTATTTTAGTTGTAAATGATGCATATATCCAATCTCTACATTATCAAGAAATTGTAGAATCTATGACGTTCAATTTTCTTCCCATTTATATCAAACTTATATATCTTATTTTTTTTTTTATCACTTTAAAGGACATTATTGAGAAACTTTGAATGAAAAATTGAACTTTATATGACTAAACTTAATCAGTTTCTAATATAAACTTAGATTTAGTTATTTTCATGAATTCTGAAAAAAGCGTGCATAATATCTGTCCTTAGAAATATTTCTGTTACCAAATGTGGCAATCAATAATCCTTTTAAACATTCAACAGCTGTCTTTCTCTTTCACCAATACAAAACTAAATGCAATAAATTTTTCTACAATTTTTTTTCTGTGACAACATTTATCAAGAAAGATAATCGTTTCTGGAGTCTATAAAAGACTCCATACAGATACATTTTTGGCAACAATCATGAGAACATCTGGGCTAATCTAGATAATTTTCCCCTAACCTTCCTATCGAAATATCAGCATCCTCTGTTGTGATAAAAATATATATCCTTCTGATGGTCCACACACAATGTTACACAAACCTGTGTTGTTGATATCACACCCAAGTCATATCAAGATGTACCAAGACATTTATACAAACACGACTTTTTTTTCCATTCAGTTCTTTCTGCCCCTTAAAACCAGGTTGAAAAATCCCAGATGTTCCAAGGAATAAAAAGATAGAAAGCCAAGGTTGAAGCCCCTACATTGTAAACATTTCTAAAAATTTCTCTTATTGGAAGGAATAGTAAGTGTTCCTGACAAGTTGATGGAAGAACACATCACTCTCATGCCGCATTGCTTATCAATAGTCATGTTTGGAATACAATCCAAGGCGACTTAAATTCCCTGCCTGTCACTCATTTGAAATATTTCCCTGAATTCCATGAATGAAATCTGAAGTTAATGTTGCTTTAATCCATGAAGAATGAGGCCTCATGCATCAGAAGTAGCTGTTCTGGCATGGAAAACTGCCTAGCATTTCTCTCTCTCACTCTCTCTCTCTCTCTTGCAGAGATCTCTCACCCCCCAAACTAACTCATGTGCCTTCAGTAAAGGCTGGTGTGTGGCAAGATTATCTTTTACTATGATTTCAAAAATTTTTGTGGGGTTTTAATTTTCATTGTTTGGTTGGTATGAAGAGACCCTGGAATTCATGTCCTCCATAAAATGTGAAAATTTCAGGCTACATTATGATGTTAAACTTTCTTCTTCAACAACCACAAACCAATATTTTTTTCTCAAATCTTGAGAATTTGATCCAAAGAAAATATGTGATTTAATGGTATTTTATTTAAAAACCTTTCTAATATGCATCTAATCACTGACTTGCCTGTGAAAAATTATTTTAACCTCAATGATCTTTCCTAAATAAATATAACTTATTTAAATACAAGCCAATCAAAATTGTAAAAATTATTTAAATCTCATTGGTCTTTCCTAAATAAATATACCTAATTTACATACGAGCCAATCAAAATCGTAATATGCATAAATACAATAACATATTTTCATATATATTTCTGCAAATCAAAAAAAAAAAAAAAAAAAAAGAAAAAAGAAGCAGTTAATACATGCAGCATTTGTCAGCTAGGCATGCAGCAAGCAACTTAATGAAAGATTTATAAGACCAAAAAACTCAATAGTCAGTAATGGTCACATGTATATCATGCAGCAACTCTTGAGAGGTCTTTTTTCTGTCTTACATACTCCTTTGTATATTGAAGATTTATATTTAAAAAAAAAAAAAAGAAAAGGAAAAGAAGAAAAAATGACAGTCAGAGAGGGCCCTGCTAAGGGCTTTCAAAGGAAAAGACAACTGTACTTAGTACATAATGAAGGTGACATAGAACAATCAATCATTTGAGTGTGAGAATCATACATGAACAGACATACATACTAACAGAGAGACAAAACCATATACAAGGTCATAGAGAGAAAGATGAGCACATCCTTTTTCTATATCTTAGTTATTTTTGTTGAATTATTTAGTTATATTAAGGTATGGTCCTTCATCTGAAGAGGCAATCAATTTTTGTTGAAATTGACCAACAATCTTGAAAATAATAAATACATTATTAAACTGACCTAAAACCTTGGGTAGTGCAGAAAGTTGCAAATTAAACTCAAATATATTTTGCTTACATTATTGGTTCAATGTTCATGACATGTTCAATATATGTTGCCTCAGAATTCATAATTTAAATATTCTCAGGTTCTAAGCTCTTAATTGGATTAATTTAAAGAGATTACTCTATCTCAATCCAGTTTATCTACTCTGCTTGAATATGCAGCTGTAGTGAGCTGCTTTTTTTTTTTTTTTACACAATCAGTAGTTCAGTACGCTTGATGTGCCCATCCAATCATTTTAATATAGGGTAAATAAATACATGTACCGGTAATGCCATTCATCGATAACAACCAATAAAGAGTAGAATCAATTCCACTATGGCTATCAGCTATAAGTGTCATAATCCTCCAAGTTATTTCCAGCACTAGAAAGTCCAAAAATTAAGCTAAATCAATATTTTGGACATTTCTGTGTGAGAATTTCTGTATGGGAAAGGCATACATGACATTGCTATACCATATAAATAATTGGGATGAAGCTCTAAAGACCAGAGTTCAAATCACTATAAACTGTATCCTTTCTCACCCACCATGTTTCTGAGGAATAGATTTTTTTTTAACACAAGACAAAAAAATAATAAAATCCTTGAATGAACATGGGAGTAGATTCTTGCTGCCATATACTAAAGTTCTGGTCTTTAAAACATGTACAAAAAGAGAGGTGAATGTTGTAGACCTGAGAATTCTAGTGATTTATGGTATTGTAGACCTGGGATTATAATGTTGTAGACCTGGGATTATAATGTTGTAGACCTGGGATTATAATGTTGTAGACCTGGGATTTATAGTGTTGGAGATCTGGGATTTATAGTGTTGGAGATCTGGGATTTATAGTGTTGGAGACCTGGAATCTATAACAAACTATGCAATAAAGTAGAAAACAAGTTGATAAAAAATATATTTAAAAAAAATCACTATATTACCTAGAGGATTTCCTCCTTTACCTAGTAATATAACTGTTCAGGATAACTCGTAATCTGACTGAAACTGCATGATTCTATCATTCACTCTATGTTTCCTTTTACCTATCACTATCAGTTTCATAAAAAAAATCCTAAAAAATCTATTTCTGCATTACATCTAGGAATCAAAAATATACAAGAGAGAGAGTTATTTATAGGTTTTATGTAAGAAGTTAATATAGTTCTCTGTATGGGTACAGTGTGTTTCTGATATCATAACAGCTGAAATTATTAGTCTCAATATGGAGTTGACTACTTCCTGCACATTTGTGTTTTCTGATGCAATAATAAAATTGTTAACTACCACAGTTCATGCTTGTGCCAGCTACTACAAGATGAGAAGAAAATAGAGAGTATTCAGAGAAAAGCATTCACATGACCATAATCAATGGGCAAAAGGAAAGACTATAGAGTGTGCATGTACTTCTCCTCGCAGGCATCAGGAGATTTTGGGACTAAGACACGCAGGTGTACCTGAGATCGATCAGCGTCATTCGGCGGGGACGTAAACATGGCCGCTTGCGCGGAATCTGTGGTGTGCTGTATATGTTCTGAACCTCAAAGGCCATGACAACTTATAAAAGTTGACATCCTACTGTGATCAAATCTCGTCTGTGGACATAAAGGTGAAAACACAAAACATATATAAAACGAAGCAAATAAAGTTAAATCACACATAACATACAGCTGTGAAAAGTAAAAATATTCAAATAAGCAAGTTTACAGATAAGCATTGAAAATTTAAAAGCAAAGACAATCAAATGAACAAAAATTTGGCACGAAATGTTACAATGATCTAGAAATTAATTTACAATTATTGTGGTATAAATTCCTTGCACAAAATTGTGGTTTGTTTAAGATTTTGAGGTAAGAAAGAAGGAACTCCATATTTCCTTCCTCTTTTAAGAATTCAAGCATAAAGGATTTCCTCTTCAAATTACAGGCTCTCACAAGTAAATCTAACTGCTAGTAAATTGTTTCCAGAGGGCAACTTAGCCAGCAAAGCATTCCTCCTTCTTTTACGCTTGATTTAGTTTGTCCAATTCCATTACAAACAGCTTAGCATCAGCTCCAGTTTTGTAGGCAGATTCCCTAACAATCAGCATAAAAAAACTGCAGAACTTCAAAGTGATCAAAGTTCACCTTTAAGGGAGCCTCCTTGATTGTAAAGAAGTGCTTGAAAGTGATTAGATAATTTTGATGATAAAAATTTCATTTCAGGTGCTTACAGAATCACTTTCCAATTGTTACAACATATCTAGATAACCCTTTAACATGAAATTACTTTACAGTATGCAACTTCTCTGATGAAAACTTACCATGAGCCGTTAACACCATTTTTAAAAAAAAAAATCCTACTAATATTTCCTTGTTACAAAAAAATCAGTCCTTCCATTCAATATGATATTTAGAATAAATGTGATAACTGAATTTAATAACAAAATCCTTAGTCTAAGAGTTATTTTAGAATAGTTGCAAACCAGGAAAACCTCTTTATCCTGTGCCCAATATCCATCACTCATTTATTTCCCTCATCAACACCTAAAGTGTGTCATATGATGTTATTTGTTTACATGTAGCTCTAATAGAGGAGGGTAATTTAGTTACTGGTGCAATCTCAAATGTTAGTCACCAATCAAATGTACTGTTCACCAACAGATTCTGGGGTCAATGAGAGCAGTGGGTCTTTGATTAGGTAGTGATGCTGGAGGCTGTACTGAGTATGTGTACTCTTAGTGCAAGTGGTACAGTCAAGTTTTTCTATGCCATTAGACCAACACATATTTTGCTCAGTGATACTACAGAAAAATTATGTATACTTCCATTAAAATTGATACATGTCTGATTAAAATGTCATAAAAAATATAAAGTCATAAGAAATTGTATCCAATATTGCCATATCCTTAAACCATCATTTCTAAAAAAAAAAAAAAAAATAAATCTTTCATTACAATTGTCTCTTCAATATATTCAAAGACAGTACATATAAAAAAAAAATAAGTTAAGAACAAAAGAAATATCAATCTACCAGTAACCAAAATCAAAAGTTTAAAACAAAGCTTATCATATATATATTTATATATCTCTATAAAATCAAAACACCCTGATGACTAAGGCATTGTTAATCAATATCACACATGGTGCAATACTAGAAACATTCCTCCCCCTTCCCTCTGCTATCACAGGTGTAAAGCCAGCATGTGAGATGCATGTCAGTCATGCACACAGTAAACAATCAGCATCCTTTCTCAGGTGCTAATCTGGCACCCTAAGCCTCCCTAGCCATGCTTGGATTAGCCAGATTACATACACAACTGAGTGCTGAAAGCCCCTGAGCCAATCTTTTTTTGTGCCATGTTTCCTGTAACCTGGTTGCCCTGCTGCTACTTTTTGGATACTTAGCTCTGTATGAAGTTCACGACCTTTCCATGCCCCTTTATTCCATTTGAAGATCAGCTTGGTCTTTTCTAAGTGATATCACATGAGAACACTCAAAAAAATTTCCATAGATACTTAAAATTAGTACTAAGATCATGAAAATTTGCATAATTTTAGACTTTGTTGGAGGCTTGTTAATAAAACTTCTAGCTCTGATTCAGTATATTTTTGCACAAGTTTGATATGTAATCTTTCTTTTGATCTCCAAGTTGATTTGTCTTAGCTTCAAAGCTAGCTGTCAATGCATATTAACATTCTCTGTGACATGTGTTATACAATGACAAACTTATTTCCCTTCCTGTGGGCCTCTCTGTTCAAATGTCTGCTGTTTCTGAGTTCACACTTAATGTCAACATCTTACCATGTATAATGCTGCCAAAATCTCCATTGTACTCCAGAAAATGATTGATAGCAGCAGTTAAACAGTTACGAATCTGTGTCTTGTTTACAAATAAAAGATGATGAAAATTAATGCAATGCAGGGCAGACGTGTGCCACTCTTAAGAATCTTTATTATAACCAAGCTGTCTTTCAACTTGTTATGCCAGACCATTTTGTTTAAAAGTTGAGGTTATATACTTTTTGGCAGGATCTCCTTCTTTATTACTTGTTTATATTACAGTGACAGATATTTCCTATAGAACTCTCTCTCTCTCCTAACTGTGTTTTGTAAAAATCATTTAACAATTGCAAAAGTTCCATAGCACCTATTAACTGCTCCATATTACAACTCTGAAAAATTGCAGCTTCATATTTTTCTTACAGATATTTCCTACAGAACTCTCCCGTCTCTCTCCTAACTGTGATTAATCTACCTTCTGAATCCATTAATTGGTACAGCATACAAAAAATATGAAAAACTGCCAAAAGTGTAAAAATCATCGAACAATTGCAACAGTTCCATAGCACCCATTAACTGCTCTTATTACAACTCTGAAAAATTGCAGCTACATATTTTTTTTCCATCTTACTGAGTGCATAATTAATACAGAATGAAAACTAATTTCCCATAGCAGAAAACAAGAGAAAAAGGTGTATCGTTTTTGATGCAATATCTATGTGGGTGTTCAAGTCTGCCCTGAAATGTGCTGTACCCATCAAAGGGACCCCAGCAACAAAGACTGAAGACAAGGAATTTCACAGTTAATACCAGACACACAGAATCAGATATGGTCTCAATCAATGAACAATAGCTGTGTAACACATAGACATGGAGCCCCCTGAAGCTGCCTTGGTAAACATTCACCATGTGTATTCAGTATGCAGCAAAAGTGTAACAGTTAATCCAACTCCTATCTTTATCCTCAGGATAAAAAAAAAATAAACAAAACAATGTGTCATCAAACTTATGGTAGTGTGCTATTATTATCTTAATATGTTCCATAATGCACCCATCTCAGACAGTAGCTAATTAATTGACAGACATTGTGGAACAACCTACATATTGTATGTGTCAATACACATCCAGACTTGTTAGATTGACAGCTAGGCCACATCATAGGTCTGAGTTTCCATGTCTAAAGAGAGCTCCACAATTACATACTAATTAAGTGTCAATGTAGAAACACAAACCATATAAAGATTCATCAAAATAGAGACAATTTTCTCCACTTATAAGCAATTTTGTGCTTAAGAAGAAGAGCTTAATATATGCATTTGATTGTAACTTCATTATCTTGTCTTTCTTGAAACAATTCATGACAAAGACTCTGCATTCAGTGTGTAATGTGAAGATAACAAACAGCTATCATTCTTAAAAGTCCCTCTAAACAATACAAGTTATAAGCAAAGCCAACATTGACCTCTGAAAACTGAGGTGGGATCAGGTGCCATGCAGGAGTAAGCATCCCCTGTTGACAGGTAATGCCAGCTGTGTGCTCCTTAAAATATTGTGTAAACAGAAAAAATCTATGGACAATTCAAGTAAAAATAATGGCTTAACAATATGTATGAAAAATGTCAGTCAACATTGGACTTAACCACAGATTGCATTTGCAAACAATGTCATCACAAAAAATTTGCCAAATGTTAATTTTAAATGAGATTATTAATATCCTTGTATCATCAACTTATTTGTCAATAGCCTGTCTCATTTTAGAAATCGTTTGTACGCAGAACATGATCTTGCATATTGAATCAACTTGGAGACATAAGCTCTGTATGCAGGTGAAAATGGTATACTGCTAGATACATAAGGGAAGTTGATGATAGAAAAGTTGAAGTCATCACATTTATCTTAGTTTAGTTGTCAGTTAGACAGCAATTTCTTTATCTAGTAAAACATCCAAATATGAGATGTGTCAGACTCTGTGGTTTAATTTTTTTTTTTAGTTCAATGGGATATACTGAATCAACATAGGAATGAAACTGAAAATGTTTATGGATAAAACGTTGATATATCTAAATGCCACAGCAAGAGACTTCATCTTTTTATGTAAAAGTATCCAAACTTTCCTTAGAATGTGAGCACATACAGTACCTTAATCTAGACTAATTAACACATTATTCACACCCAAAACCTCTATATGCACCCAAAACTTGCACTCTGTATCCACATTCTTAACTTTATCATTTCATTAATATCTAAATATTTTGATGAAACTGCACTGAAATGATCCTTATCAAAGCTCTAATTCATCAGCTGACACAGCTGAAAACTCCAATTTTTTTACACCTGAGTTTTCTTTAATACCACTGATAGTTATCAAGAAGCAATACACATACACACCTGCCATGTGGAAACACATACTTGGCGTCCTGTAGCTCCCATGTCATTTCTGACTAGGGTATAAGTTTAATGCATTGACGCTGCAATCAAGATCATTCATCATCACATGAAAGAAATCCTCATAAATTCAATAACATAATCCCAAAACAATGTCAGCCTTGTGGTTTCTCTGTCAGAAACTTAACACCCTTAATTATGACACACACCCAGCACTTGATCACAGATACATCATTTCTTTATACTGATCCCCCCAAAAGTCCTTCATGAAGATCTACACAAAAAAAGGTGTTTTTCTTGAAAAAAAAACTGTGTTTGACCTTCCACAGTGATCATCCCAATGAAAACAACACTTACTTCTGCACAGGCATAGCTTCTCATTAGAGACAATTACTCCAACTGCTGTGAATTCTGACTGGTTGCAACACGAATGCAAAGTCATTCTTTGAGGCAAAAAGTCTGGCTATAGCAAGCTCAGCAGTGTTAACTGTTGGACATTGCCCCATGTTTCGAACTTGCACACATGTTGTAATTGTGGAATTGTTTGGATGAAGAGCACAGGAAACCATTAAATATCACAAACACTCATTTTTCTGTGTATCATAAAAGTCTGACTGATTGGTTGAGGCCCTCACTAGGGGAAACACCTTGTGAAACATAGATTTGTGGCTTAAAATTTGCATCAGCTGTTCAACTGATTTGTGTCAAACATTCAACTCACTCATGAAAATACTGCTGAACACAACTTGTGCTCTTTTTAAATTGAGATGAAATTTTCTTTCCTTTTCAATGACAGTCAAAAATGCAATTAAACAGATAACATCAGAATCAAACAAGAAGTGTACAAGATGGGTTAATTACAATGAATTTCAAAATCCTGTGTTCCTTTGCCAAATTGCTACTTTTTTAGCTTTTAAACTGCATGTTCTCATGTATAACAAACATAGTCCACAAAGAAGATAAAACAAAGGCCAACCTGTCAATAATTCACCTTTTTGCCAATTTTGGCAGGTGTGCAGGCACTTACCTGTGGACACTGTTTTGGACAGGTGTATCATTTTTGTCTGATTTGCACCACAACAAAACCAAGAGCTGGTCCAGTACCATAGCAGCACACATCCTCTGTCAACGGTCAATCAGCATGCCATTCTAAATACAGGCCAAGATGAAAGAGCACCTAGAACTTCACTACACAGAAAATACATTGTCTTTCACTATCACATTAAAATTCAGCAGTGCTCCAATATTCTTCTTTAAATTTCCAAAATACAATCCATTTTGCAGGTATATTTCAACTATTTCTTCCTATGAGTACATGTACCATGACCACAACTTCTTACTAAAGAAGCAACAAGAATTAACATATGGAATGTTTAATTCCATTTCAAATGGCAACAAAATGTTTTCCATTTTTCCCCCTTTTCCTCTCTAAGGACAAATGTGGAACATTACAATGAAACAAGGCTAGTGATTGACACAAAGGAATGTCTTAATGAAAATCTGTCAATAAGATCTGAGTCACTTTATGTAGTGTCTGGTTACTCAGCCTGTAGTCAAATCCAAATCCGAAAAAGAAGTTCAGGTTCTCCAACAAAATCAATACACACTGCCCTTCTTGTTGCTCGACCAGAAAAAGACAAGACATGTAATAAGTGCCAAATGAATCTGTCAGCAATTGTCCCCAGGATTCTTGAATGAGTCGACATGAAGTATGACAAGGCACTACCAGTGTCCCCATGAATTCCTGTAACCACTGTTTTCCCTATTCACACAGGGCTCTATGGCATGTGAAAATTCAGGTAGTTTTTACATCTTGAAGACACAAACTGAGTTTCTTATTCATTGTGCTGGGAGATTAATTGAATATAAATGACACAGGTACAGACAAATCTTGTTATAATATACCTTCTGTGCTAAATCAATCTGAAATTGTTCCATTGGCATTAACTTACAACCAGCAACAATGTAAGACCATGAATAATTAATGCACCAAATATCCTAACGAGTCAAGATGTTAACTTCATAGTCAAACCTTCCAATACCTCCTACATCAAAACATGCCACTAATAGAATGCATGTGCATTAAGTTGACAATCCTTTTTTCTCCACTTTTTGATCAGATGACTCACTGATCAATAACAAAATTACAACAGGACTCAGTTTCAGCCTGGTCTATAATCACTGTATTTTCAAAATTTATCCACAGGATTTTCTGGACAATTTAGATTGATTTATACAAGATGCAGATATTGAGAGTATAAAATAACTAGATTGTGCTGATAACAGTCACAAATGAAGCAAATAATATTGATTTAAAAATCTATGCTTTTCAAACGTTTTCCAATATTATAAATATTAATACAGTCTGTAGGAATTTTTTTTCAGTTCATATGTCATGAAAATAAATTTAACATAACTTAATTAAATACATTTTATGGATGCAAAGTTTGATTGCTAATTCATAAGTACCCAATAAATAATTATTTATACACATTATAAGTACCATAGTATCAATGGTTTACATATATATAAAGTATCATACTAATAATAATAATTGATTTATAGAGAGACTATCATGTATCAAACCTTATGGCATCTATTATACATATGACTTTAAAAAAAAAAACAAATCAATTTTCTGTCAAAAGATGAAAAGATCCAGGAGAGTTTCTGAATTACACATGTATCAGCCAAACCATTAGATAGGGGAAACAACTCCATCCAGAAATCACGTTGCTTGAGGTCAGCGACCTCAGTCAAACAAGAAACTCTGCACACATTACGACATAGATTTGATGGCCACATGACATTCATCTTCTTTTATTATCTGTCAAATTATGACAGCCCTAGGGCTCCCTAACCCTTCTTTGATACCAAGTACTAGTTTAATCCTCATCTTCTGATTAGAAAAAATCCAGCCATTTTTTTATCACTCTGTGTTTCAAGTAGCATGGGGTTTCATCCTCCATGAAAATGGGTTCCTTATCTAATCATTCTCTAACAGGGGTATACAATATAAGAATTATATAAGATGGAGGTAATGTATCTGGAGAAAGAATCTAGCCAACTTCTAAAATTTTAGAGAAAAAAGTTACACCCTTAATTTGTAATGAAAATAATTACGTGCTCCTTGGTAGAAGCATTCCGGTGTAAACAAGTTCCTAACCCAACCAGAAGGAAATAAATAAATATTTATACTTAGATTATATGGCACAACTACAAGAGATTTTTATGAAAGTTTCTTTTGATGGGTTTATACACCAATGGGGCTAGCATATCAAACATCTCCTTTAGATTTTGACTTTCAGAAGCACAAAGAAATCTAAAAGTAGGTCATTCAAAAGCTAATGAGTTTCGAATGATTTGGATAAGCTGCTGAGAGCAAGGTCATTAAAAGAACACTAAACATCTACTGACCTGATATACTGGGCATCGCCTTACACTCTTATTCCAAAACCTTTTTGATTTTTAAAATCCCTTAAAAGAAGCCAGCCTAAGGATGTTCAAACCTTTAAAAACATTCATGATCTGTTTCTAAACACAATACTACATCTGCAGAATCTTATCATGATTTTTTTAACCCCCTCCGAGCACTACTTATGAATGGATCAGATTTTAAATGCAGTAAGGCACAGAGAGGGAGAGGAAATGAACCTGTTATATGCACTGATTTTGCTGATTTATACTAATTAAGAGAGAAAAATTATACTGGGATCCAAATTTAAAAAAAAAAAAAAAACATCCTTATTTTTTAATGTGGTATAATTTTTTATTTAAGTGTAAACATGGAGTTCAACTTGCCTAAAAAAAAATACTGAACATTTTATGTATAGTTCACTGTTTCAATAATGACCTTTTTTATTCAAGACAAAATTGTAGAATTGTTGATGATGATTTGTTCCTCTAGTATTAAATAACTGTAAACATACTAAATTTAGTGGTACATGTAATCATCTGTAGACACACTTATTTTATTGGTACATGTAATCATGTGTAGACATACTTATTTTAGTGGTACATGTAATCATCTGTAGACACACTTATTTTATTGGTACATGTAATCATCTGTAGACATACTTATTTTAGTGGTACATGTAATCACCTGTAGACATTCTAATTTTAGTGGTACATGTAATCACCTGTAGACATACTTATTTTAGTGGTACATGTAATCATCTGTAGACATACTTATTTTAGTGGTACATGTAATCATCTGTAAACATACTTATTTTAGTGGTACATGTAATCACCTGTAGACATTCTAATTTTAGTGGTACATGTAATCACCTGTAGGCATACTTATTTTAGTGGTACATGTAATCATCTGTAGACATACTTATTTTAGTGGTACATGTAATCATCTGTAGACATACCGGTACTTATTTTAGTGATACATGTAATCATCTGTAGAAATAATTATGTTAGTGATACATGTAATCATATTTTAGTGCCATTCGCATATGTTTTAATATGTTTAAAGTACAAACTGTAAGAATCTGGTACACAGTTTATGCCTATGGCACAATGATGTCTGCGCTAAATCATATGCATTTATTTTTCCCCCAAAATTTAGTCATCCATTCAGCATGTACAAGTAAGTGCCTAACCACTAGACTACCGTGACCTATTTGTCTTCAGTGAATGCACCTAAATACATTCTTAATTTTAAAAGATCACTTGTAGACATATGTGTTAACTAATCTTAATGACATTGAATCAAAATAATTAATAAGTGATATTAAGTAATACAGGGGTCCTGGCTTCAATTCTCAGTCCAGTCATATTTTTTCTTTATTCATTCATCCTTTCCTACAAAGCTATCTTTAAGGTATCAGGTGTGCAAACAATGATGATCAATTTTAATTGACCACCATCTTAAATTATGTTCATGGTATACCTCTTATAATTCAATCCCTCATGGCATAGGTATCATCATATTTTATGGGGAGAAGATTCATACATCCAACTACAATAGCCAGCCTCTAAGAACAGACCTATCAATTTCAGTTTAGAACTGAAGAACATATAAATCCTACATCTGTAAAGGGCTTGTGTGTTTTTCCTTTTGAATTAGTCAATTTTACTGATACATGAAAAGCTCTCCTTCTTTTTACCTGTTAACAACCACTTACACATCTTCTGCCTTTTGAAATGTGATCTTGTGTCTATATATTCATTTGTTTCATAACCATTTTTTAATTACTTTGAACAGTTCTGTTGTATTTTCATCCAATTTCAGTGCAACAAAGATCGAATAAAAGAAAAGAAATTTACATTGTTTTTTTTCTCCACTGTCCTAAATCTTTTTTCCACCCTTGGCCTGATTAATATAAATGCAAACCTCGTCTACGTTCAACTTCATTCAGTAAAAAAGATATATACATGCAAAGAATTGTCTAAAAAATGATTTTTTTTCTAGACCACATCAAATACAAATCAAAACTACCAGTACTCACTCACTTTAAACTACCAATAAAAAAAGATCAACACATCAATTTTGATCCTAATACAACAATAGTGATTGCTGTGACACAATGCCAAATTCCAACAGCAGAAATCATTCTGATACCCTACCTTGTGCATGCTGCCATATCATCTATATCTTCAACAGGACTCCATCACAACTTTTCACATCCTTCCTGCATGCCCTCTAAAAAAATAATCAAAACAAATTCAGGAAATTAATTTAATACAATCTAACAAATTTTAAAACACTTATACATCATACAT